TACACACAAGCTTTCTGGACACCACGGTTATAAAGGAACTTGGGCATTATTTCCTTCATGGACCCCTTAAAGAATTATTTCCTAATATAATTGTCTGATATACAACCTGATGCGACAGTTGAGTATATTTGGAACCAGCAGGGGTGGATCTTTAATTTCAGGAGCTTTTGAATGGTTGGGAAATCCCTGGAATTGCTAATCTTTTTCATAACTTTAGAACAGTTTAAAAGGACCAACACAAAAGATGATAGATTGATATGGCAAAGGCAAAGTAAAGGCCATTACTCAGTGAAGTCATCCTACATAGCTCTTAATAATATTGGGTAACAGTCTGTTGAATGGCATTGGAAATCTGTCTGGAAAGTAAAAGCGCCTTTTAAGGTTGCCGACTATATGGAAAGAAAGACAGGCAAGGTGTTTTGAAGGAACAAACAGCTCTATACAGAAGACTAAGATGAATTGCCTTGCAAGAAGATCTTGTACATGATGTGGAGTCATTGTTAGATAGAGTCCTTATAAGAAGAACAAGGACATATTCTCTTGCTTACTTTGAACTGTAATGGTAGCTCGTAGCACAGCCTTTCTGCTTAAGATATATAATATTAGTTACCTTTCTCAAAGAAATACTTGAGGATTGTTTAGCATAAGTGGAAAGAGAAGGTAAATAGAGTATCTTGTGCCCATTGACATCATAAAACTGGGATTAGATGTGGCTTGAATATATTCTAGTACGGATAGAAGAAACGGTGTCTTTCTTCTTGTTAATTCATGTTATCATAAACTGAGCAGGCAGTGGAGTTCTGCCACTTCTTAGGTCCTTCCCGGCTATTAACTTTAAAATTAAGTAGTTTGTCATGAATCTCTCAGGCCTTCGGATACTCAACACTCGCGTATTTTTGTGTCAGATTAGAAATAAACATTTTCTTTATCCGGTTTATTTATGTGACAATGTTTGACTGGTATCGGAGACAGTAAGAATGAAAGAAAAACTTTTTGAGTTTTGGCACATAAGCTAAATATATTAACATGCCAAAAGTTACGTTACAATTTTGTGATTTTCAACATGCCATGTCATTCTTCTAAGATCATGTCATTACGAGTAATATGGGAACGTTAATAATTAAAGAGTTCTCAATACGGAGAGGTGTCTATCGCATTGGAATGAACCAAAAAGGAAAACTAACGTTTAAAATCTAAAGGAGGGAGTAAGTTACCCTTTTCTCAAAAAAAAAAACAAAGGAAAGGAGGGAGTACATTCTTTTTCTATTCGTAGTGCAGTGTGCAACTGGGTCGTATATACAATGCACACACGTACACATTAGTTACATGCGTATCAATATTCTTGTTCATTATGGTGTCATTTCTTCTACCATCACGTACCTTCCTTGATTCTTTGTACCATTCTTACTTGTGTTTCTTATTCTCTCCCTTGTGCATGTTATACTCATTTCTGTGTTGTCCTCTCTTAGACTAACACTGGATATACCAGCACCACAAGCATGGGAACTTCATCAATTCCTGGAAACGCGAGTTTGCTAGGGTATGTAAAAAATTGAGCATTTTATGTAGTCATTTTGTTGCTATTGTAAAAGTAACTGCTAGACATGGCATTTGGGCAAGCAGCTGCAACATAATCATTTTATCATCAGTTCCTTATAGCATTTCCCAATTATGCTTTATCTGAACTTGACTATAATTATCTCAAAATTTCTGTTACTTGTCAAGATATGAAAATTTGGACGGTGTTAGTGAAGCATTAAAAATATTTCCATCTCCCAAGTCCTAATTATTACTACGGGAATATTGTCAAGAACTGTTGAAGCATGTATTCGTCACGGTTATGGGAGCTCTGTCATTTAACTTCACTTCTACAGTTTTTATTTCCTGTAATATTTTCAGTAATATGGCCTTATTCTCATATTGCAGTTGGGCTATGAGCTCACTGACCCTTAAAGGCGGTAAATCCTCTGAGCAGGGTTCATATGCTCCAGCTAGCTCAAGCATGCTTCCTACTTCTGCAGTCCCCGATTCTAGCTCAAGTATGCAGCTTACCAATTTATATATTTTGTAATATGCTTCAGGGGTTGGCTGATAAAGATAATTCTCATGCTGCTTTGTTCAAATATTAATTTATATGCTTATGAAGAATTAACACATCTCCAACTTGATACTGGTTTCTGAATTCAACAGTTGCAGATAGTTCGAGTATAACACCAATTCATGTTAGCTCCAGCACAGATATGACAGATCAACATGTGCCAGTATCCCCGTCATTAAATGATGGATGGGGAGAACTTGAAAATGGTCTAGAAGGTCTTGACGGTGATAAAGATGGTTGGGACGATATCGAGCCCCAAGAAGAGCCAAAACCATCTCCCTTTCTTGCGAATATCCAAGCTGCTCAAAGACGTCCTGTCTCTCAACCAAAACCACAAGGTAATTACAATACCTGTAAACTATGTGTTCCTCTATAGACTTGTGCTCTTGGATTGTATTCAGGCAAGTCATAATAATTAAGTTACAAGTATAGCTTAGAGCCACACAGACATAGCAAATTGAAAATTAGATGAGGGCCGATAAACAAGGAGATTATATTGTTGCTGAAACTCTTAACTGTATTTTCGTCCATCATTTCTGATGGAAGTGAATTGCCTTGAGTCGCTAATAGATCAGTCTCATTTCTACATTGTTTTTTGTGTTCTAATTCTTACAATATTTCAGTTGCTAGTTTACGAGGAAGTATTAAAAATGATGATGAAGATCTGTGGGGATCAGTACCTGCTACTGCTCCTGCTCCAAGAACTAGTTCCCAGCCATCAAGCACTAGATCAAGTAGAACAGTTGATGATGATGAGGACCCATGGGGTGCCATATCTGCCCCGGCACCTTCAACAAAGTCTCTGAATGTGAAAAAAGGTGGATCACTAGATGATACTGACCCATGGGCTGCTATTGCAGCTCCTGTACCGACTTCTAAAGCTAGATCTTCAATTGGACGAGGCCGAGGAAACAAACCTACAGTTCCTAAATTGGGTGCCCAAAGAATAAACCGAACATCGTCTGGAATGTAAATTACACAATCAAGGGTCAACACTGAAAGAAGATTTCATGAGTCACTGTAAAATTTTCCCTCCTCAGGTAAGTAAAAGTACCAAAATGAAACAATTGAAAATTGTGTTTGTTTCTAGATTTTAATTTTTTTTTTTTGTGGAATTATCTTTTAAGATTCATGGGGGTATGGGTATAATTTTTACCCCCTAGTCTAGACACTGTATTCTTTTACACAAAACCATTGATGCAAAATTCTTTGTAGTTCATGAGAGTCGTTATATGCAGTTTCAACATTGAATTTTGTAGTTTTCTTTTCTGTTGGCAACTGAATCAGCATTTTCATCTTTTCATAATTGGGAACCACCACCACCTCTTTTTTAAAAAAAAAATAAAATAATCAATTGTCACAGTCATTATTGAATGCTAACTACGAGTTTGGCATAACCTTGTAACTTTAAAAAATTATCTGATACATACATACAAATAGTTTACTTAGAAGTTTTTTTTTTTTTTTTCCGATTCATATTAGAGCTTGATTAAATACGAATTCGCGCTGGAGAAGGGTGTTTTAGGATTGAATGCTGGAGTGTTTTTGTCCAAAAATAATTTCATTTAAAAAAAAAAGTGGCTAAGCATTAATAGTTTTAACAATAATGACGATTGACGGCAAATATTAAAATTGGTTAAAAATATTTGATAGCTGGTGTTAAAAATAGTTATTTGACCTTCTGAATTCTTATTTTTCCAACTTCATGAGTTTTTTTGAGTCATTGGATTCAAAAATTAATATTTGCACATATTTATTATATTTTCTAAAACACAGATACATGATGTAAATAAAAATTATTGAGTCCGACTGAATCGCAGCATTAATCGTCACCTTAGATTATTTAGTCCAATAAGAGTTGAACTGGTTTTATTGGATAGAAAAAAAGTCAAATTGCACAAATGTTTAAAGGGTTCTATTTCAACTCCAACTTGCAAATAGAAATAAAAACTCACCTTTTTATAACTTTTTTTTTTTTTAGTTAAAGTAAAGAGCAACTCTTTCTTATCTACCAAACTTTTAAGTATAGACAAAAAGAGAGGAGTTCACATCACAAGGTATGCTATGATTTATTTTTTGCTTCTTTATTAATTTCTTCATCCAAGATTTAATGTTTTTGTTCAATGATGACAATTATAAGGAAGTGAGCATTTTTCAATTTTGCTAGAAGAATAATAAAAAATTGTCAAATTAGGTTTGGGCACTAAAAGTTAGCTCCAAAGGAGAACACATGTGTGATTCTTTCTATCAACACCCCTTCACAGTGCTTTGGATGGGATGAACACAGACACCATCATCACCACAGGCATTTCTAATACCCCCAATTCAAAGAAATGTTGTTTTTTAAGTCTTGAATGCATATAAACAAGGCAAAACTTGGATTACTGGTGAAAAAACTTCGTACTGACTGATGTCACTATTTCATTAGATACCTGCTATTTTAAGTCGCCACGAAGAATATGTACTAAATTTCTTTCTCACTAAGAACAAAAGTTTGGTTGGAAAGGATTTGTGTTCATGAGGCTACTACCAATTACTTTCTCCGTTTCAATTTGTTTGTATGGTTTTGACTTGACACGAAGTTTAAGAAAGCAATGAGGACTATTGAATCTTGCTGTCTTAAATTAAAGATAGGTAGAATGTACCAAAATGTTGTGGTCTTAAATATGTTATATGGAGAGTTGGAAAGAGACATTCTTTTTGAAACAGACCAAAAGGTAAGACAAATAAATTGAAACAAAGGGCGTAATCAAAAGGAATCGAAGTGAAGATGTTGGTCTTAAGACAAGATTAAACAAGAAGAAATCACTAATCACCTAACTAATCATTTTGCATTAAACATCCAATTCCAAAAGGCAGTATATAGTAATATTTTAAGCAAAACAAGAGGCAAAAGAAAGATGAAAAACTACAGACATAATAAAAAATATGAAAAAAAAAGAGAGGAGGAAAATGGTTTTTACATGGATATGAAAAGGTTAAAAGTTAACCAATTCTTTATATAACTTGAGTCCTCAGGCCACAATTCAAAATGCCTAAAATTGTATATAATTATAATTATATAGAAATCTCCTATTCCTATATCATATGTATCTAGTGCATTCTCAACTTTCATTTTTCTCCTATGAACATCTTCAACAAAATGGACAAAATCTCAGTCTTCTTTTTTCAAGTGTGGACCAGCTTGCACGCACCTCAACTAATTCCGTGATGTACTTGTTATCTTGGTCTTTGTGTTAACTCTTATGACTATGATCAACCATTTGCTACTTTTATGTTTATGGTGTTTCCTTCCGGTGATTTCACTGCCTTCTCGTCATCCCAGTCATCATCCCAACTCTCGTTCCACCCTTCAGAGGAAATTTCCAACTTCATGGAAGAGTGAGGTTCGGGTTGTCCCATTTCAAGTTCCTGATATGCGATACCATCAACATGTCGATCTTGTTTTCTCAACTTGCAGCAGATAACTATTCCAACTATAAGAAGAGCTGTCATACCTAGCAAGTACGCCCCATTAGTTGGGGTCACATACATGGTATAAGATGGCATGTTAAAGTAGCCTTGCCATAATGAACGTCCTATGTTAATCGTACATTTCCCAGTTCCAGCATCTAGCATAATTGATGAACTCCCTCCAATTTTAGACGAGATATTAATCTGATAACAAAATGGGAAATCGAAAACAATGACTCAGAAGCAGCACATTAGGTTTGATTTAATGCTTTCACCTTGTCATTTTGTAATCTTAGAATTTGTTCCAGGCTAAAGCCAGCCATTCAGAAATGAAGAGAACTCTACCTGCTTGAAATCATGTTTTGGTATCTGAATATCCTCACAAGTTTTGTTTGCAGATGAAACATTGATCTTCAGCGTCAAAGAATTGTCACCATTGTTCAGGACGAGGAGAAATGGTTCCTCATGTCCTACAAGAAAAAGACGTAAGCTTTATGGTCTAGCCAAATTCCAGACGTTGTACCAAGAAAGTAATCTTAAATATGACATGGTCTGATATAAATGAAAGACACAACAAAATATATGAATGTTTGTCAGCTGATGGAAAGGCAACATTGGTAAAAAAGCAGTACTAACAGAAATGTCAAGATAATCCAACGCGGCCCTTGTTGCAATTAAAATGACAGCAAATAATAAACAAAAGTTTCACTTGATGTCACTGAGAGAAGAACCAGATCCATTTCAAATTTTTCCTACACAGCTACATTTAACAGATGAAGACATCAGAATCTTCACATGTATATTTTCTAAGCAAGGACTCACTTTCAGTGGCTATCAGGAATTTAGAAAAAGGAAATCCGAAAAGAAAAAGAGAAGAACAGAAGGAAGGACAGATGACAAAAAGAGTAATAGCAACTTCTGAATAAGAGGACACAAGATCCAAAGCTTGAAATTTGGATAAATCCAAGAAGGTTTTGGATCAAGAAAACAGATTAGATTCTTTAAGAGTTTGTAAAGGCAGCAAATTTGGCCCTAAGTGCCAGTCTTTGACAAGAAGGACCAGCAAAGTGCCAATAATAGCTTGCTTTTCAAGGGCGTCCACGATTAGCTTGGACTATCAAAAGGCATCCAAATTCCAAAATGACATAATAATACAAATATTTGAAAGATCTAAGTAGTCAAATTCATCCAAAATAAGTTGGAACTCAAAGCTAACTGCAACCCCATCAAACATCCAAGCTGCTCCTTAGAATCCCACCTTGCTATTCAGTTTTAAATATGCTTATCGAGCCCATATTGACATGAACTTGACAGAGAATTTACAATATTTTGTTCATATTAACACAGATCCTAATAATTCATCCATCAAAGATTAAGGAAAAGTGAGAATAAACGCCATAACGAAGTGCTAAGTTCTAATTCTAGCACCAAATGTCACTAAACATACAATCAGTGTAGCAATCTAACTGTCAATCAATGCACCACCTTGTTTATACTCAGCAAAGACTACCACCAAACTCAAATTACACAACCACAAGGAACCACTCTATCTAGTAATAAAAGAAACGGAGAATCACCTTTCCCGGTAGGAAAAAAGCAGGCGGTCATACCAATATGATCATCCTGACACTTATTAGACACACCGGCACAGGTAGCACTACCAAAAGCCGCTGTTGGCTGACCTGCAGGGACTTGATTAGTACCAAAATTCCCTTTAACAGCAGCACCAGACCTTGGTGATGGGGCTACCTGAATAAAAATACATTCTTTAAAATCCCAACAATCAACAAAGAAAGAGCACATAACAAAAACATAGGCAATATTACAATATCAAGAAAAAATCAACCTATAACCCTCCACCCAACTAACTGATTAAACTAAAAATAGCCTGCGAATATATAACATATGTATAATCCATGTATAATCTGTGTATAATCAGCGTAAAAATCTATGAAATCTGCCTGACTATTTGTGTGAAGATCCCAGACCTGATTATCTAAACGCTGAAAAGGGTGTACAGAGTTTGCATTAGATTGCTCCAAACAAACTGAAATCAACACAACCAATCTCCAAAACACCATATTGTACTCAAAAACCCCAGAATTCATAAACAAACCCTTTTGATTTGGGTATCCAAAAATACCAAAAAAGATACCAACTTTCGATGATTTAAAGAGAAAGAGACAAAACCCAGAAAAGGGTTGACGGAGAAAAAGAGTGCAAAGAAGATGACCCCGTCAACTACAACGACTGAAGATACAAAATTCTTCAAACCCAATCAAAATTATTCTTCAGAGAGTAAGAACAAAAATCAAAATTAAGGGTTTATTGAAGATTTTTGTATATGTAGATAAATCTATTAGTCGTCGTCTTCTTCTTCTTCTCTCACATTTCACTCGTCAAGTACTTTACATAGTAAAAAAAAAGCGTGACTTTTCCATGGATTTCAACGTCACACACTCATTTCATATGGAAAGTCTTCCCTGACTTTTCACGCACATCATGCCTCTTCTCCTACGCCATCACCATATGAGCTTTTCCTCTCTTCTTCACTACTTCAGTTAGTAGCGGAGATAGAATTTTTATAACGGGTTAAAATATAAAGTGATATATAATTTTTGTAGGACACAAAATACTAATGAATGTTTTTATTTTAAATCAAATTAAATGATATATTTATGTATTATGTCTTTATTATATATGCATAAAAAAGAAACTAATCTTATATATAGAGAATAAATTTTCAACTTATACAAAGTTGATTCGTAACTAATAAATGTGGACTATTGGTGTTATGTTATTAGATTTACGGCTGATGAACAAATCAAAAATTTATAATTAACGATTTATCGATGAAAAGATATATTGTTTAATTTTCTTATCGAATAAACGGTTAATCTATTAAGAATTAATATTAGTGTAGCATAAAGATTTTGGTCTGTTCTTATTTGGTAAGAGATCTCATGAAATATTTTATGGAGAAAAAGACATAAGTTAGCTGAAGTAATGATGTGACTATTTTTGTTGTGATTTTAATTAAAGAAAGAGAATAATATAACAACAATTTGTGATTGAATGACAAAAGAGACCGTTTTCATATAAGCAAAATGAAATGGAGAAGTTTAGTTTAAATTTACTTTGGTCGTGAGATACATTAAGTATGGAAAAACTCTTTTATATTTAGTTGATACACTGTCCGATAGTTATCTCATAATCGTTAATTCATATCAGACAAACAAATATCTTATAATTAGTTGGTCAGCACATTTAAAAGTAGATATCCAATAAGTCAATATTTAAGCATAATTATCCATCCAATCTGTCCGATAAGTAGCCCTAATTGTTACACATGATTTTGATAATTTTGGTTCGAAAGAGAAATATCAAACCCCAAATAGGACAACAAAGATCTCACGTCTCTGCCTTTCTTTTGAAGTTAGCTTTAATTATCTCTATCCTAATTTACGTGATTATTTTAGATATTTCTATGGCTATAAATTATTTTATTAAATAAAATTTTTGAGTTAAAGTTGTTACCAAGTATAGAAAGATAACATTTTCTTTAATAAAAAAGAAAAATGTGTCACATTAATTAAGACAAAAAAAATAAAAATTCTTAGAGTTTAGCTTCTACCTATTTAAACCAAAGATTGTTCAAATTTACCTAACTTTGCCAAAAGGTCTAAAATTTGTCAAATTTACTTTTGTACAACTAATAGTCAAATTTACCACATCAAAATTTGTCAAAATTAGTTTGTTTACAACTAATAGTCAAATTTACCTAGGTCTAAATTTATCAAAATATAATTTGCTATAACTATTTTTCAAATTTACGAATGGTCTGGTTGACAAAAATTTAACAAATTTAGATTCACCCCTAAATTTCTTTTCTTCTCATTGCTTATTTATGATTATAATTTTTACGTATTATTTCATTGAATTCATATTATATATTCTTAAATCTTAATATTTTTAATTGATTTGACTGGAAAAGTTAAAAGAATATTATTATTGGATCTTTTTGTTAATTTTTGAAGGTTTAAGTTGGATTTAACCATTGAAAATTGATGGGATTGATATTAGAATTATGTATCAAATTTGAAATAAAAACGTATTGGTGAAATGTTTTACACCATAATTTATATTGATTAAAATTTCATAGTCAATTCTGATAATTTGTTAGGATTTGTTGTTATGGTTTTGTGTGACAAGGCAAATTTTGCCATTAATTAATTGTCAGAATTTGTGGTCAAAATAAGTTTTTATTGTCAATTTAAAATAGTTATTTTCTTAATGCAGTGAATAATAATTGTAATATAGATACTTATTATGCAACGAATAATAATAAATATATTGTTATATGAATTGCTTAATTTAGAAGTATTTTATCTTTAGATACTTTTTATTGGAGCAAAAAAAAAAATCATATTTGTAAGATCAAACAAGTCAAATTACTTATAATTTTTTTTGCATTAATGATGAACATGTAAAAAAAAAGTTCAAAAAAACAAAAACAAAAAAGACAATTGTAATATTTATAAATCACAAAAAAGTTAGTGTTAATGAAAATGAAATTTGAGGACGCTTTTCTGAAAATACTCCTTTAAAAGTTTAAAAAATTCTTTTTCGAAATAGTAAGTAAATAAATTAATGTCTGAATACGTAATTGTATAGGTTTTTTGCCCTTCAATTCATATTATTGTCTTAGTTCTTTTATTTATGTAGCTCTTGTATAGATCTTTTCATGTTAGTTACTAATGTTTCTATTTTACGAGCATTATGAAAGTTACATTATGTCTTGTCGCACCAAAATATTGGAGAAATCATATGAGCATTTTCTTATCGGCTAAATTAAAAATCGAACCGTTAAGTAGGGGTGTGCGCCATTTGGATTAAACCAACACATCAAATCAAATCGAATTCTATTTTGAATTGATTTTTTTGGTTTGCTTTTGGATTAATAATTTACTTTGTTTGGTTTGATTTTGGATTTAGAAAAATGAAAATCGAAAAACCAAAAAATTTGAATAGTATATATATATAATTAATTAAGTTGGAGTTAACTGTTTTTGTCTTTTTTAGTTATTGTCTTTCATTATGATTTAGTTTATTTTTTATGTTTGGGCATCTAGAATTGATATATACTTTTAAGTATTGTGTTTTACGTTTTACTTGTGATTTATATTAGAAAGTATATTTAAGAGATTCAATTATATATATATTATTTTTATTTTCAAATTGCACATATAACTTTGATTATGTTTCTAATTATTGACATAATCGAATAACCGAACCGAAAAAAAATCAAACTGAAAAGAGAAAAATCAAATCAAACTAGATTTATTTTGGTTTGAATTGAGTTACACTTTTTCAAAACCAAAAACTGAAAAACCTTAATCGAATAGTACAAATCCAAATCGAAAAACCGAATGTACATCCCTACCGTTAAAGACCAAAAATCGATAAAAAATATTTTATTTGTTTAGCATAGCCCACCTTATTCCTTTAAATGTTAGCTGCCAAATCTAGTTGGTAACTCTTTTTTATTGGGCGAGAAATCCGTCCGTGGCGTAGTGATCAATGAAGTGATTGAAAACCCTGAGTTCCTAGATTCAAAACTTAGCAAAAATAAAAACACTAGGTGATTTTTTCATATGTCCTAACCTTGGTGTACAAAGTTACCTAGTATATGTTGCTGGTGGGAGTTGACAGACATCCCGTAGAATTAGTTGAGGTGCATATAAACTGGCTCGAGCACCACAATCATAAATTTTTATTCATTCTCAGAAGTTCAAACTCGAGTCGAAAATCTCAATCATTCTACCACAATCCACGTTGTCACCAGGTAACTTTTATCTTACACGTGGCAAAAAATATTGTTCCAATCATTGTCGTGTGCGGAGACAACGTTACCAACTTTCTATTTCTATTACTACATTAACTACTTAAATACGACGTCGTTTTAACCATCTTCCTAAAACCCCTAACCCTTAACCATTTTTCCCTAAAAAAACAAATTTCATTTTGTTCCTTCAATCACCAAAAATGATGTTTTTCTTCAATTCAATTCTTCAAATTTTCAGAAATTAGCGTCTCTCTGGTTCAGTTTTTAGGGTTTTTTTTCTTCATTCAGCATCGCCCATGGCTTCTGAAGAAATGGGACTTGTTTCAGCTCGAAGGGTGGAAAATGGGCTCAATCCACAGCTAGTTTTTCATGAAAGCAGTTTCAGCTGCGGCGCACCACCACCACCACAACCTCCGGGTCGGGTCGGGTCTGTTACAGGTGATCCAGGTCCAAAAACTACAAGGGAGCTTACCGGATTCATAGACAAGTATGATAATCATCAACATCATTACTTTCTTAATCAACATCAACCACAAGCTGCTGATTTTCGCCGTCAAATGTTCGGTGACGACCGTGGTGATGGTGATTGGAATAGGAAGAGCCATGGCGATGGCGATGGTGATGGTGATGGATCGGAGGATGACGATATGGATGAGGATGAGGATGATGAAGATAATGATGATGAGAATGAAGTGGAGGGGATTGTTACAGTTGAAAATAGTAATCATCATCAGAATAATAGTAGTGATAAAGTTAATAGTAATAGTAGTAGTAAAGTAGTTGGCAGTGATAAAACGAAAAGTGTTTCTACATTTGGTAAGTTTTTGACGATTTTATTGTTTTTCTTGTTTTGGAATTGAGATATTGTTTTTGATTGATTGATTTGTTGAATAAGGTGTGAAGGAAGGGAATGTTGGGCCGTCGGGAAATGAAGGTGGTCTCGATGTGAGAAATGCTGTGACAATTGCTAGTGTTGATGGGGATATGTATTATAATCAGTATTTGCAGGGACCGGAAGGGTCAAATGCAGGGCAGAAGGAAATGGGGTTTGAGAATGGGTGTGGATTTAGTGGAAGAAAGGAAGCTCATTTTTCAAATGAATCAGGAGAGTCTTTGAGAACTATTCTTTCTGATCCAATTACGTAAGTTCCTTGTTTTATAATATGTTTTGTTTGTTCGCTTGTTCTTCTGGTTTAGCTGCTTGACATGTTAGATTGTAAGTAATGCATAGATTGTGTTTAGCCCCTAGTCTGTCTTAAAAGACTAAGTTATTACTGAAAGTTGTTTGCTTTCCCTGAGGTTCTAGTTTTGACTGCTGGAACAAAGAAAATTGCAAGGTGAAGTGACAAACTGGGTAATTGTGCAAAATAGCAGTTTATATGATAGAGGTTCCTTTTAGGTGAATGTATCAAGCTGCAGTAATGTGGAAGCAATTATAAGCAAATCATGTATGACATCATGTTGTTTTGGGTTAGCAAGCATGATCTTGCATTAGAATAGAAGAGTATAGGTGATTTCTCTACACTTGCTCTAGATTCTGAGTTATACTGTGGTGTGCTATGCCACTTCTTTTCTAGTTCTAGGAACAAGGGAGAAAAGAAAAGGGCATTTATGGGATGAAATGACTTTGCGAATTTTACCTAGATTACTCTTATAAGTTTTTTCCTGAATTTGGGATGGTTGGCATTATGCCAATCCACAAAAAAAGAAAAAGAAAATAGAAACTGGACTAAAAGGTGTGGTCTAGCGGTCAATGAAGTGAGTCCAAACCTCGGAGACCAGGGTTCAAATCGTAATAAAGAAAAAAAAACACTAGGTGATTTCTTTCCATCTGTTTAAGTCAATGTTACCTTATTCATGTGTTGGTGGGAGGTTGTAGGTACCGGTTGAATAGTGGAGTCAGGAGTGGGCACATGCTGACCAGGATACAAATCTTTATTAAAAAAAGACGAAACTGACAAATAGATTTGACATTACTCCCTCGTTTTATTTTATGCAAACCTGTATGACTGAGCATGGAGTTTAAGAAACAAAGATATTTGGGACTTGAGGTCTTAAACAAGCTATGGCATTTCTGTGGCTATAAAGTCATGACATTAGGTAAAATAGAAAGTTTAAAGTTAAATCTTCTAACTATTGAAAGGTATTGATATTTTCGGAGCTTACTAAAAAGGAAAATGTGTTGCATACAATAGAACAAAGGAAGTATGTTGTTAGTTTCTACAAGTTTTCATTAAACGAATCTTCCAAATGACCATTGGTCAAAAATATGTGCGCTTCTTGGAAAGCGGCTGATGTATGCTTTTATTTCTTCATTCTTCTAATGGCTGCATTATTTTTTAAAATTTTTAAAAAATATCTAATCTGAGATACCAAGTGTAAGGCTTATAGTAGAGGTCAGAATGTTATTATGATTATTTGCTTGTGTAGTTTCTTTCTATACATTATTTGCTGGTGTTGACTCATGCATTATTTTATTCATCTCAACTTATTATCATGTTCTCTTGTAGTCTCTTTCAATTTATTTCCCGTTGTTGATTCATGTATTAATTTAGCCATCTTGTTGCTTGCGGCACACTTGACATCATGCTACCATTTTTAGGGGAGAGCTTATGGATGATGCGATGATATTGCCTTGTGGACATTCCTTTGGTAGTGGTGGGGTGCAGCACGTAATTAGAATGGTATGTCCTCTGGAAGCCATTTGTTACCAACTTTTGTTGATGCATCTAAACTTCTTGTTAGCTCTTTCCTTTGAGTATTTTGCTATTCAAAGCCTGCCTAATCAACAAATTCTGTTTCAAGATGTATGAGATTGAGAGACCGACTACTTCATTGGCATAATATGAGAATATGTTCCTGAATTCGGGTTCGGGTTCTGGCTGTGGTTATTATGCTCTTTGATTTAAGCAAGCTTCTTTGGAAAAGCTACTCTCTGCTTTCAGTTTAAGGGAACTGCATTGCATTTGATTACATAGCGATAACCAAAAAAATGTTAATATTCTCATTTGTTGTAGAGATGCAAATATCAAAATCAAATGCAAGTGCGTTTAATTTTAGATTTGACATGGATAGGACCTACTGTTCTGAAACCATACCACCTGCAAAAGCTGTACCCTAATATTGCATGCTTAATCTATCAAATCTTCCGTTTCTCCTGTCAAATAAAAATAGTTACAGTAATCCTCTGTTTGCACTGTCATTTAATGTTTCTGCATAATGAAGTCTTAAGTGTTTATCTTTTTACCTTAGTAGGTACAGTTATTTAATGAAGTCTAAGTGTTTATCTTTTTACCTTAGTAGGTACAGTTACCCTAATATTGCATGCTTAATCTATCAAATCTTCCATTTCTCCTGTCAAATTAAATAGTTACAGTAATCCTCCGTTTGCACTGTCATTTAATGTTTCTGCATAATGAAGTCTAAGTGTTTATCTTTTTACCTTAGTAAGTATAGTTATGACATACTTGATATTTAATGAATGTGTACTTTCACATAAATGCACGAGACCAAAAGTTTGCATTATTTTCTTCTCCCATTTAAGTTGGCAACTAGGTCTTCGAAAGATAAAATAAATTTGCAGTGACTTTAGTCTGTGTACCTCTGGACTATAGTTCTAAAGTAAGTGTCTTATTAGCCTTTATGATGTATTTTCAGAAAGTTTGCTATATCTGTTCACAAGCGGTGTCCGAAGACTCTATGTCGCCTAATTTATGTAAGTATACATTCTGTACTTTTGGTAGCTTGAGTATACCATTTCCTCTGATTCTCCTAATACTTGATAATGCTGTCCAGTGAAAGCCTGTACATTTTCAAATGTCTGCTGCTGTATAAGAGATGTTGCTTTGGGGTTTCATAATTCAATTAAAACCAAAATACCGAATCAAACAAAAAGTTTTGGTCTTTTCTTTTTGGTAATTCAGTAATTCAGTTCATTTTATCCAAAAATGACCGAACATATAGAAATACTGAATCTTTATGATTATTGTATAAAATAATTTAATTGTTTATTAGTATTTGAATTTATATATGTATATATATTATTTGTAAGACCTTGTAATTCTATGAATACTTATATATAATAATTCAATTATGCAGTTATTTTATTTCAAAATTATGTTATTTTAGTGGCTCAATTTGAGAAGGTCCAAGTCCAATCAACCCAAAACCGAACCGAAGACAAAAAAATCAAACAAAACTGAATATATTTCGGTTTCAATTTTCTTAAAAAAACAAAAAACAAACTGAGCTGACCAATGAACACCCCTGTATATTGCCGTTCTCTTAATTTCATTTTCATTCTATGGGTTGCAAGTGTTGCAGGAAAACATTAATTAGATGACTACTTACCAGTTAAATAGGTTATAATGATTTCTTGTGCTGAAAAGCTACTCATTCTTGTAGCTTTGTGCCAGGGATCCTTGAGGATTCCAGGAAGACGAACTCTAATACAGAATTATGATACAAGCACATGTATGGACTATTTTCAAAAGATAACCGAGGGGTTTTAGTAGATAAATGAATCGTTAAAACCTATGTGGTAGCACCTTGTCATCTTAAACTCCTAAAACTTGGGGAGACTTCTCTGGTGGTGGCATGGACTCACTATCCAGGAAATATCACCATGGTTTACACTGGCCCTATCTAAGAATAATGATGTAACATGTCCCGATCACAGTACATATAAATGAACTATTGTCAAAACTAGTAAAAATTATTCATTGCCTCGATAACTTTTTCCTCCCTCTAACTATGTACACGACTTGACCTTTTGCATAAGTTCAAACAATGTCAGGAACCTTTGGCACCATTATGTACCTTGAAACCCAAAGCATCCTCACAAGCCTTCATGCCTGTCTCTTGAGACCTAGTTTGTGGAAATCATCTGCTACTGCATGACACTGTTGAGTACACGGCTTGAAGGTTCAGAGCAGGGACTCATTTCCTGACCCTCTTTAGGACAACACTTTTACCTTCCTGTGATTTAGACTGGTTTCCTATTTTAGCCTATTATTCTATGTTGATTCCTCTGGCCTTCTATTTCCCACTTCTGTAGACATCTCATCCTAGCAAGCAATTGCAGCTTGCAAGTTGCAATAAATTGACTTGCCGTTCAGACGTCCTTAAGAATCAGTGGATTATTTCACATGCTTCTTAGGTGTTCTTATGAGTGTAAAACATCTCATCACATACCATTGTCAAAAAAAGAAGAAAAAAGAATGGAAACATCTCATGTTTCCACTTTTGGAATATGCACCAAGTCTTCTTTCTCAACAATAGTATAGAAGAGAAATTACTCCTTTATCATGCTTACTCTCGCACTACTTTCGCACATTAAGCTGCTTTGTCTATTTCTGAACCACCATTTCTCCAGTGTACATTCTATGTCATCTTTATCATTTTCACTTCTTCAGATGAAGGAAACTCTTCGCTGTTGATTTCCAAACTAGAAGCAGCAAGGTTAAATTCTCATAGCAAACTGAGGATATCTAATTAACAACCCCCATGTTCTTTCACCTGTAGCTACAAATTTTACCCTTTGTTAAGAGCGAGAAGGGCTTCCAAACTCATTGCATTACTTTGTCAAAAAGTAAATTAACATTAAATCAACTGGATAAATTTCTTCTCTGATCCTCAGGGCTTTGTTCTAGTTATAAGAGCACAATGTCTGATGTGTGGGTTAGATGCACATAGATTGATTTTTATGTGCTTCATTGGTCCTTTCTGCATTTTAAAGGTTTTAAATGAGGCTAAGAGTAAGTTTATACAGTCCTACTTATCTTAGTTTTTTCTGATGATTTCTATTTGCCTTTCCATATATGTGTAGCTCTTCGATCTGCAATTCAAGCATTCCGCCGAGAAGAGGAGTCACAGCTTAATCGCTCTTTAAAAAGAAGAAAGGAGAGATATGATCAGGTTTGCCACTTCCATATTTCTAAACTATATCACTACCTGAAATGAGGTGGAAAGAATGTTGAACGTTGTTTAATTTAGACTAAAAAGAAAAAGAAAAAGTGTGGAGTATCTATTCTCGTACTCAAAAGATTGACTTTACTCTAAAATTTATGGTCTTAGTATCATATCTCTATGCAGGATAGAGGGACCTTTGGTGATTCAGCACTTCCGGATCATCTAAGAGGAAGAGGAGTTCAGTTTCCATTCGCTGTGACAGACAGGGTTATAATAAAGGTTCTTCCAGTTATATCTGAATTTTAATTACATTTCATAATTGGTTTTGAATGGGGTATCTAATTGAAATTATTAATTAAATAGGGCAACAAAAGGACACCTGAGCGTTTTGTGGGTCGTGAGGCTGTTGTTACAACTCAGTGCTTGAATGGATGGTACATCTCTTTCTTTGCAATATTTGCTTCTTGAATTTCATTACATCTTTTTGACTTTTTAAAGCAATTCAGAGTGATTTTGAAAATGTCCACTAAAATATCCTTTGTGCTTATGCTCTCAACATCTGAATTCTAAATATCTGTTAAGCCTAAAAGGTTAAAATCTTGATAAATCTAGACTTATTTCGGTTCACTGGAAAAAGTGCAGCGCATGATGTATGGGTTATTCACAATTCACAACTTTGAACTTTTCCATGGACAGAAGCCTAGTACTTAAGTGAAGGAGGGCAGAGAGGTGGGCCGGTTATCCATTGTGTTTCGAACCGTGCGCACCTGGACATCAGGAATTTCTTGTCTATAAAAGAAATCTAGACTTATCTAGCAGAGACATCCATTTGGGAAGTTGGAGAGTCTATCTGTGTCAAGCACTCCCTCAGCCACAAAATAACTTAAATCCATCTCAAAATACAAAACTTTGCCCATTTCAGCCCTTCACGTTAAATATAAACTATTACTTGACCACCTTTTCACATTTTATACCATTATTCTTAACTCCTCTGCCAGATTACATATAATTATATACTCAAGCATTTTACAGTTCAATCTCTTGTAGATAAATTATTTTGGGATGGAGGGAGTATGAATTAAACATTTATGCGAAGCACTGGTCACCACAGAAAGTTTAACTAGTACATTCGTGAGAATGAATGGAGAATTTTATGGGAGGGAAAGTAACAGAGGCAGGAAGAGGTAATTTCCTCATGTTTGGATAGTTGAGGGAGACGAGAGAGAATACTTTATCATCTAAAGTGGGCAGGAAGCAGAGAGTAAAGAGGGGGTGTATTCACCCTCATAATTGGTGAAAAGGAGGAAGTAATGTCTTTACGTCCCTTCTAGTTTTGCCAACGGAAGGAGCAAAAGATAACCAATGTTCCTACTATCCTTTACACTTCATTTACTTCCTTTATCCAAACATTGCGCAGAACTCCTGAAATTTGGTGTTATCTGTAAGCCTCTTTTGTTTTTTATTTGTTTTCTATACATAAATGTCTTGATTCCCCTTTCACATGAAACACACGCCTACTCTATCATATTGAGACTTGGATACAGTCCTCTTTAATAACTTGCGTAGTCCAAAACATAAAATGAAGTGTCGTATAGAGTAAGTCTCTTTGCCCTACCCAAGTAATAGTGAAAGGTGGTCATTCTTTGTCTATATTAAACAAGAATCATATTCAAAATATTTTACAACTCTATTCTAGATTTTCTCCTTCTCTACCGGAAAACTTTGGAGCATAGCCTTTTCTGTGGGGAATGTTGAGACTTTAGCCAAGTAAAAATTCCGTGATGACTGTACATGACTCATGTACAGTTTAGGGGAAAGATTTGATCCATATGAAGATTCTGAGTTCATGCACATTACTCAGATAAGTGGTATGCTCTATGAATTTTAAAATACTTTAACACAAGTTAAACATGCAATGCTTAACATATTTTATTGTATTTCATATCCCTGACCTTGAAAATCCATCTCAAAAATCACTTACCTTGAAAATGCTTACTTGTGTTAGTAGTTTATTAAAAAGATTTCTTCAGCTCAAGTTTGGAAATGTTAATCTCAAGTTTGTTGTATTTTGCTAAACCCTTCGAATTTTGACTCAGATTTTTGAACACATTGTCTCCATTGAACCTTGTCAAGAGGCTTCTGAGTTTTGCCTGTTGAGCACACTGCTGAATAGCTTATTCAACTCTTTCCTTCTCTCCTTTTTTCTTTGTGGAATATATCTCGATTTGCATCTATATAGATAATGCCGTAATTTGCTTCTTCCATCTTGCAGTATTTGATAAAATTCTTCAACTAGCCAAGTAATGACTCTTTATTTGAATGTACAACTTGTGCAGGTATGTTGTAAAGACATTAGATAATGCTGAGAGTGTAAAGTTGCAATACCGCTCCCTAGCCAAGGTTTCAGATAATTTATCAATCCAGCCAATATCAAGTAAGACGGCAGCCAATTGGCTGTAGAGATCCATTCAGCAGAATGATTCTGTCTCTCTCGTCCTAACTTATTGCACATACACCATGTTTGATACATATAGTCTAACTAGAACAAGCATTGTGTTTTTTCAGCTGTAATCTAGATCTTGTATCCGTTCAACGTAATTCTCAGGCTTAGGTGTTGTATATTGTATAGGTTGTCTTGTAGCACTACAGCATTGAGATGAGATCCCGAGATATGAACTATACAGAGCCACACTTGATTAAAATAAATGAATTATACAGATTCATTTCTGCTGGACTTTGTATCGACTGGTACCTATTCAGACATACAAAGATAAAAATATCTTATCTGCATTACCTTCTGAACCTCATAATGCTGGGTTCTGTGCATATGATATGTCAAATGTGCATGTGCATGTGCATCTAGCCAGGCACACACAGGTTTGGCCTATCGGTCAATGAAGTTCGTGAAAATATCATAGATTAGGGTTCAAATTCCAATCGAGGGCTAGATGATTTCTTCCCATATGTTTGATGGACAAAGTTATTAGGTTCTTGTATTGATGAAAGACCAGAAGGTAATAGGTACCTCGTGAATAGTCAAGGTGTCTACAACTTGGCCGTGGGACCACCATTACAAAAAGATGTAAATAAGATCTTGGACCCTAACTCGTTGAGACGTAATTGTTATTGTTGTTGAGACATAAGTGCAATTGACATTAAGTAAAATTGTCACGACCCAAAATCAGAAGTCATCATGGCACCTATGTCTCAACCGATAGGTAAGCCAACCTAGTTTCTTTACCAAATGAAAAGTAAGCGACAGTAAATATCAATCTGAGATAAAGAAATAAAAAACATTAAAACCATAACAATATGAATTTTGTCACAACCAACAACTTTTAAATTGTTTCATAGCACTTTCCCTAAAATTCTTAACTCTTACTAAACAAAAATGTGTACAAAATAAATCCATTCCTCTACCAGCTCTAACTCTGCTAGTCTTCAATAAATAACAAGCAGGTCCAGTTTGATCAATTCCTTTCCCCTGTACCATCACACCCCAAGATTTCGTCAACACTTCATCTGCATCTTCTTGTAATATATTGTGATTTTCATTATTTTCTTCATCTCGAAGTTCTTCAACAAAAATCAATCCATCTGGGGTTCTTGTTTTTCCACTTTCCCATTCATTTTTCATCATTGGCCAATTCTCAAACAGAGCTCTCTCTGTTTTGATCCAAAGTGGTGATGATCGTCGCGGTTCTCTATCATCATCATCCTCATCCTCATTCGCGTAAATGTGGACAAGTAATGGTGCTTGTTTCAAATTCTTAACAATGTCAACCATAGACGCATTCATCCAATCATCAAGATTTCTCGATAATATTATTTTTTCCTTTTTTCTATCATCATTTTTTGCGACCCTGTCTAAGGGTCGCGAATTTGATAGAGACAGAGATGAAGCAGAAACAACACCAACATGCTTCATTTGTATCATGGATACTGTTGATCTTCTCTGTATCGTTCCAATTTTATTCAGTGTACCTAGAGACACACTCGGATTTATGTGTAACGATGCCATTTTTTTTTTTGGGGAAAATCGTTACTCGTACCGGGGAATTAAATTAAGAATTATTTAATTCCCCGGAATGATTTGATTTTTTTTTTTTTTTTTTTTGGGTTGTTAGAGGGAATTGAGGAGTGAAATTTGAATAGAAATATTGAGAAATGTGGCACAAGAATGGAATAGGTTGAGGGACAAAAGGCACGTGTCTTATGTATGACATGTAACATTTGAGACCAATCATATTTTTTGGGGTGCTGAGGTGTGGCACCAATGATATTATGACACGTTTATAAACGATAGGCCTTGAAGAAAGAGATAGAGTTTCTCTAGAGCAGATAGGGCAAAGACCAAGATACACATCACAAAATTTGAGTTGAGACTATGGTTTTTCATGTATATATCTAATTGAATTATTTAGGTTTAATACCTAGATAAGTACTCTTCATTTAGACACTCGAACTATGATTTGATTTGTTTCAAATTGAGCATCTGAATACATGATAAATTGTTTTCATTATTAGATGCTTTTGGTTCGATTTTTTTGAATATTATCAATGTGATCTCAATTGTCTATTAATTAGTTAAGTCAACATTATTAAACGTGATCTCTTTTAGTTATATGTATCAACTTTAATTGAAATATGACTGAAATTTTACGATTTATTGAGATTAATATGTATAATTAAATGAGATGATATATTTTAACCAGTGACATTTGAGAATGTGGCACGAGCATGGAGTGGATAGTTTGAGGAAAGGCACACGTCTTACGTATGACATGTAACACTAAAGACCAATCATATTTCTCTATTTAATAGTAATATCAAAATCTATAAATTTAAGTTCTAGTTCTGCTTTCACTATGATCAATGTTATAACAAATGTGTATTTTAACTCTCTCTTTTTTTGTTTTTTCATCTGGTGTACGATCAATTCGGATTTGCATTGGGTAGGGCCTTATTCGTAGGGTAACACTTAGACCGATGATTTTTTTATATGCATGATTTGAACTCAAAACCTCTAATTAAGAGTAGAACAACCTCATCCACTGTACTACATCCTTTGATAGTGTGTAATTTTAACCTTATAGAAGTAAAAATAGCAAGCATGTTACTAGGACAGACATGCTAGCTAGGCCCAAAATTATGGGAAAATTGTATGAAATAACAAACTATTAATTCAAATTAAATGTTATAGCCATAGTTTATTTTATTTGTAATTCGCAACAAATATCCCATTTTTTGCCATCTGATTCGGTATACAATTAGCCCTTTTCGGTATACAATTAGCTATTTTATACATTTCGGTATAAAATATATAAAATGCGTTTGTATTTGTATAAAGCGAGAGAAAAGTGTATGTACAAATACAAATACATATATTTTCGTCATATACACTTATAATTATACAAATACAGATCTTATTATATAAATTACAATGTATAAATGAATATATACAAAACTGAACAATTTGTAAAAAATGAGATGTATCTAGCGAATTATACAAATCAAAAGCTTCATAACAAACATAAAATTAGCTATGGAGCGCAATTATGCAAACTATAACTATAACATACAAATATAATTTTTATATTTGCTATATGTGAAAATTGCTCAATTCTCTAATTGGATAATTTTGCCAATTTCCAGTCAGTTACAACCAAATTCTTGTGAAAATTTGATGAAATGTTTGACTATTTGACTGGTTAGTAAATATTTTTAAAGTACTTATATAGTATATAATATAATAAATAAAATAATGTAAAAGGTGTTCAATGAGACAACATGGCTTAAATTTAGTTGGTAAAAGGCGTGGTGGTTATGCAATAACAGACGAATAGTAAAGTTTGTTCTCTTTCTCTTTGAGCTAAGTAATGGAGTAATAAATACATATATTACTAGTAGGGGTGTGCACATATCGAATTTTAAAATTATTGATTTTATATCTTGATTTTAGAATTTCGCAAAATATAATTTGAATTTTATTAAAAAACGTTCAGATTAGATCATTTTTCAAAGTTTGATTTCAGATTAATTGATATGAATAATTCAATTTTTCAGTTTTGAACATATAACTAAATAAAGTTCAAGATGGTAAAATCATGGCATAACATATAACAATACCGACAATGACAACAATGATTTTTTTTTTTTTTTAAAAAAGAGTCATCTTGAAATTAACAAAGTCAAACATATATGGTTTATAGGCGAAAGGAGAAAGCATCATGTCTAAGTTAATATCAATAGAAAAAAAAATACTTTTAATTGATTCTGTTTGAGCCTCAAATGAACTTGAATTTAGTACTTGGTATTGAATATATGGTTTTTTTTGTTATTTTCCACTTGGAGAATGCATTGAAGCTTCAGTTAAATCCGGATTGCGCATGTAGGCCCATTCAAGAGTTCCTAACAAAATTTTCTTCATAATCAGAGTTGAATTTGAGATCTCTAGATAAGAATGAAATTGTTTTATCACTACACCACAACCCACGTTGATAACCTATGATTAATGTCTAGTATGTAGAGTATATCTGCCTTATTAATTAGATTAGGCATATAGATAATGCGTTTATGTCTAAATGATAGAAAAGAAAAAAAATAGATTCGGTGTGATAGAATGATAAGTACTTTTTTTTATTTTTAATTAAAAAATCTCGTGCTTAAATTCTAAGCCGTTTGTATATCATGTTCATATTTATTATTTTTATCCCACCGACAAAACGACGTATTTTTTTTACAAAATTGACACCTTACTTTCCAAATACTCGTGTCAAGCCTACCTTTTTTAAAGAAGTCTACTCATACCTAACAGCTCCCAATTGCTGGAAGGTAGATTGAGTGGTAGCTAAAAATTCTACAATTAATTTTATTTTCATTTATATATATAATATAAATTTATTTATATATAATATAAATTTATATATATTCCACATAAACTTAAACAAGAAACAAACTTACTTTCAATCATTTTTTTTAAGTCCACTTTCAAACTCTCTAAGTTTTCTCAATCAAGTTCAAGAGTAAGCTAATTTTTTTTCTTGAATTTTTATTTTATTGCTTTTGTATTTATTTTAATTGCTTATTTGTTAAATGTAAAAAGAGATTCTTGATTAATTTCTTATCCTAAATGTTTTTTTTGTGTAGTGGTAAAGAATGAAGTGATGGTGGATGAAATTCCTTTTCCTTCTCAATTCATGGTGAATAATAAGCCTTTACCTTTGATGGGCCATGGTAAAAAGAAATTTTTTTTTACCACTTCTTCTTGATTTTTATCTCTTCATATCTATATGCTGGGTTATAGTAAAATAAATATCGGTGTATAGAGACGTATTTAGAATTTTAACTTTATGTGTTTTGAATCTAATAAAAACAATTTATTAAATATTGGAAATATTATTCGACAGATTTAAAATTAGAAGTTTATGATTTTTTCGATAGTTTCAAGTTACTATACGAATTACGATAATAGTTGGTTCACGTTCAAATATACATGTATTCGCTATATTGGATGATAATTCATAAATATTAAGCAAATTTCTTAAAATAAATATAAAAGTTTAGCCAAAGTCTGAATTTTATCCTAGTTGATGAATGATTAAAATATCATATAATTTTTTTAATTTTTTTTTTTCCCTTTGTGGTGGTTAGTTGAAGATGATCCTATAAAACCCAAAGTTATCTAGAGGATCTATCCTTATGTAAATATTACTAAATTTTCAACATATTAAATTTTTGAAAAGTCAATTCGGATTTAATTTATAGATGCTGACAATAACAAAATGTTTAACTCCAAATTGTTTTTTTTTTCCAGGAATAACAGACATAGAGATACATTTTCTCCAAATTAAATTCACAGCAATTGGAGTTTACTTGGATCCAGAAATTGTGACTCATTTGCAACAATGGAAGGGAAAAACAGGGGAAGAACTAACTGAAAATGATGAATTCTTTGAGGCTATTGTTAATGGTAACTAAAATCTTCACTAATGACTACCTACACCGCTCTGACTTTCCAAAAATATTGTCATATTCATGTCAGATCTTCTAAATATGCATTACTTTCAAAGGATCTGACATGAATCATCAATACTTTTGAAGAGTCTGAACAACATAGATGATTAGGCATTCTTGTTTCTATAAAGTTGTTTACTTCAAATGTAGATAATAGTCCAAAACACGTTTTTGCCAGCTTTCTATCTGAACTATATGTTGGGTTATGAAGGTGAATAGGGCGTCATGCGGAAGCTTACAATTGCAAATCATATAGTAGATAAATCAGATGACAAATAAAGTTATACTAAAACATAATATTATTAATATGGTATGACCAATCGGCCTACATATGAAAAACTAATAAAAAGAAAATACTAAAACTGTTGAGGGAAAATCTCCCCATAAACTAAACTCTTTATTGACTACATTGTGGATGTTCTTATTATTTTTGTGTTAGAAGAAATAAACCTATATTTATAGAGTCCTAAAACCTTTTCTTACTAGAAAAAGACTAGCTACTCCAAAACCTTTTCCTAAAAGGAAAAAATAAACCAAATATGAAAGAATATTATATTTTTCTTTCAGAAAAAGTTAAAACATTTATGGTAATACTTTGACTTTACTTTTAGGAAAAAATAAACTTCAAATAAGGTAAGAAAATCAAGGCAAAACCCTAACACTATAAAATGTACACTTTTCATACATGAACTATCACTAACTATTTATCAAAACATACTTCAACTATCAGTTGTTTTCTTTTCATACCTGAACGATGGTGATGTTTCATGTTGAAAAAGTGAACAACTGATAGTTCTGATAGAAAACTCAGACAAACGTGATACTTCAGTTTTTTCTTAAGAAAATAGACTATTCATCTACCTTCAATGTTATACATTTGCAGCTCCAGTTGACAAGTTCTTGAGAGTAGTAGTGATTAAAGAGATCAAAGGTTCACAGTATGGTGTGCAGCTAGAGAGTGCCATACGCGATCGCTTAGCAGAAGTCGATAAATATGAAGAAGATGAGGAAGAAGCACTCGAAAAAATCGTTGAATTTTTCCAGTCTAAGTATTTCAAGAAAGATTCAGTAATAACATATTATTTCCCAGCTACCTCTGGGAGTGCAAAGGTAGGTACTAACACTTCTTTTCTCAAAAGATTTTGAAGTTATGATCGAGTCATTTTCTGATGTTTGGTTACGATGTTTTGAACAGATATCGTGCACGATAGAAGGTAAGGAAGACTTGAAAATTGAAGTTGAAAATGCAAATGTTGTAGAGATGATGAAGAAATGGTACTTAGGTGGAACTAGGGGAGTGTCACCTACAACTATTTCTTCTTTGGCTAACAACATTTGTGTTGAATTGTCTAAATAAAAGACATCATGTGTTGTGTTGTTTGTATTGATCTTTGTTGTTTTGGCCATGTTGGCTATTGTATTTGGCCTATGGAGACCTTTTGTTTCAAGATTTGTGTTTGAAATTAATAAATTAGAAGTTCATTTTAGCTTGTTTCCAACATTTTTTTTTCATGTTTAATTTCCTTTTTAGTCTCTAGAAATAGTTTAAGCCAAGGGTGTGTGTGTGTTTTGGTAATAACTTGGTATTCTTAGGGCTAGTTTAGACATGATTTCAAATCATGTTTTGAATACAGTTTTTGGAAACAACTTCTCTATCTTCATGAGGTAGTGGTAATATTCGCGTATATTCTATCCTCTCCAAACTTCACTTTGTGAGATTTTACTCGGTATGTTGTTGTTTTGAAATCGGTGATTTGAATTTGAAATTTTGTTTGAACATGCAATTTGAATTTCTTCAGTTGTATTTTTTCTAAAAAACATAAAATCCTACAAGTTGCGAAAACTATCAGAATTTTCTCAATTCTAATACTTATCTTATCAAATGAGTAAACCATGGTTCATAAACAAGATACTGGAATATTCTAAGATGCTGCATTGATTAGTCTCATATCTCCATGTTCCTTTTATAAATAAACGATTTGCGATTACAAATTTTCAAATGCACATCACTTTATAAAAGATTGTAACAATAGTTTTAACTAGTTGTACTTTAATATAATCTTTTTAAATGGTACATACAACCTCTTCACCCCATGCATGTGCCTTTTTTTTTCATTTTTTTTCCACCTAATTTAAATGTTGAGTCTTCTTTTACTAAATATAAACTTATAAATCAAATTTTACATTTAAAAAAAATTGAAATCACAATTTGAAATTTCAAATCCTACTTTTTGAAGGATTTAGTATTTGAAATTATCATCTCAAATCACTTCTCTAAATATTATTTTTATCTTAATTTCAAATCGCATGCCTAAACGCCTACTAAATTTGTCCATTTTAAGTTGCAATTAGGACATTTCTTAAAGAATTGTTTGATAGGACATGTGGCATAATTTCACAATCATAAATCTTGACATAAGATTTGTGAAGCCAAACAAATCACATTATTAGGTATTATGGGCACACACACGAAGCATTGATAAATCATAAATATATTTTAATTATGTGATCTTATACAAAATAATTATATACCATGTGTGAGGGATACTTGAGAGATATGTATATATGATCATATATGCCAACTAAAATTAATAATTAATATGATATCAAAAATAAAGATCTTGCATGTGTACAGAACATTTGAAAGATGCATAGTATCTAAAATTAATTAAAGAAAAAAAACTTTGACAAGTTTTTTGCACATAAATCTCAGTTTCTTTAGGTAAAAACGACAAAGTTGAAATTATATATGTCAGGAGAAAATAATATTTTGCAGTGTAATTAACACGATAAAGTTTTTGAATTTAAGTTAATACTTAAATAGTATATTAATATAGTAAAAATGTCTATGAATAGATTAGACCATTCACTCGAATGAGTAATAATACTCGTAATGATTAACTTTATAAAGATTCTATTGAATTCCAATCATTCATAGAACTGGTTAGCATAATTTTCAAACTTAAGAAGTCAACCGAATGAGTACTAATACTCGTAATGATTAACTTTATAAAGATTCTATTGAATTCCAACAGCTCGTAGAACTTGTCAACATAATTTCCAGTTGATCAAGAAGTTGGGAACGTTCCCTCGGCCTCTGACTTGCCTCTAGTTACTGAAAGTGAATTTATTTTCAATTATCCTATATATATATATATATATATATATATATATTTCAAAATCAAAACAATTCAAACAATTGCCGTCATTATTGTTTTAGTCGAAAGGAATTTTTTTCTTCTACTCTTACCCTCTCCTCATGTCGTATATCCACTCAACTCTTATATTTAAATCTTTTTATTTATTTGGACATGAATGAACCCGAACAGACTTTCGGCACTATGGGTAACCAATTAAAAATATTTACACTACCTGCTCTTTGAACTCGAGAGGAACGCCATGTTCTCTAAAACCTAAAATAGATACTCTTAAAAAAAAATACAATGTTTAATTTAAACATATAATCATGATTAGTGGATAATTAATTGGTATTTTTTTTTTCTAATTAATTAATAAAAGTTAGATATGAGTCATATGATTAGCAGTATTATTGGATCTGATTCCTTCCTACCTAACTAGCATAATTTTATCAAATGAAACAGAGAAATTATTATTTATACAAAAGGAATATAATATATGAAATTGCCATGAATAATTTTCACCTTATTCTGGAATTTTTTCCAATATATAATTATTATAATTTTTTAAAATTTGAAAAACTACAAAATACTATTTTCACTAATTTTTATTTTAAATCACTAATAAAAATTCAAATACACTTTAAATTTGTATTGATATAATTATGTTCAAATATAATTTTGATTCTTAAATATTATTTTCAACTTAAAAATATATATATATTTTTAAATTTCACAATTTTTATATCGAAACGTCCATTAAATATTTGAGAAATGCATGTGCTTTTAGGATCTTATATAATTAATATACATCAACTGGTGGTTCAATTAGAACAACTGTGCGCATGCGCATGTTTGATCGTCGTTTTATGACCATGTCAAATGTATTTTATTAATAAATATTAGTAAATGATTAATAAAATTTAAATAATAAAAGGGGAAGAATCAATTAAATAAAGTAATAATAAAAGTTAAAAGACAAAAAAATTGGTTAATTCTAGTGGTGTTCTCATTTAGAAAATTGTGCTATATTTATATGAGTTTAGGTTTTAAGTATTGATTGACGGTATAAAAAATAGAGTAAATTTTAGGTTTAGCAAACATAAAAAATTATATTAGCGCTCTATAGTTATAGTTTTGCTATTTGCGTTTGATAGCAAACATATATAGTTTGCTATGGGGCATCTCATTGTATAAATTGCAGGCAGACAACTCATTTGTATAAAAAGCGCATCGATTGTATATGTATATCAGTTAGATAATTGTATATATGTAACTATTATGTATATGAATCAATGATTGTGTTTGTATATCTGCATAAAATTTGAATTTGTATATAATTGAATCGAATTAAAACATTTGTATATCAAATCTCTCTTTCTCTCGCTTTATACAACACAAATTATACATTGTATTTTATATAATTTGTGTTTGTATAAAGCGAGAAAGAGAGAAAGACAAAAGAGAATTGGACAGAGAAAGATTTGTATAGTATAATTATAAGTGTATAGACGAAAGTGATATGTATTTGTGTTTGTATATACAATTTTATCTCTCTTTATACAAACACAAACACAATTTATACATTTGTGTTTGTATAAAGTGAGGGAGGCGAGGGACAGTAGCGAGCGAGATCACGGAGAGTGGCGAGCGAGATTTTTGGAGAGAGAGACGAATGACAAAGTGTTTGCTACGGATTAGAATTAAATGAAACTGTGGTTATAACATTTATTTTGAATCAATAATTTGCTAGCTATTTTATACTCACAATTTTCCCTAAAAAGTATTTGCACATTAATCAAATTATTTAAATGTTCATTACATATAATTTAATTTGATGGTATTAGCTTATAACTTCTAAACGGTTAAATTACACTAATAGTATATTAAAAAAATACTAATTCCTTTATCTTAAAATATTTGTCATAATTCGTTTGACGTTCAAATTAATCAAATTAGTTTTCGAGAAATGAAAAGTATCATATATTTTAAGACGGGAAAATATATATTATCAGTGTATATAACTTAAATTGTGCGCTTAGCTTCTCCATACCCCCACAACTATATATATATATTAGCTAGCTGCTGCCACTTAATTAATTAGTACTACTCTCTAATCCTTTCTATATCATTAACTTAATTACTTTGAGAACTTGTTCATTATCAATAATAATGGCTGCTTATTATCCTCTTTCAACATTTTCCATTTTTTCTCTTCATGTCATCTTCATAAGCTTGTGCTTCAATGAGAGTTTTGGTGATAATGGAGGCTGGCAAAGTGCTCATGCTACTCTTTATGGAGGGGGTGATGCATCTGGTACAATGGGTATGTCTTTTTTTCTTTTTTACTTTTTTCACGCGATGTTCGGTATCTGCATTGGAGTCTAACTATATATTTCAAATTTGCGCCGCGTAAAGCTCCATTCGTGGGCAAACACTCTCTACCAAGAATTTTTACATATTCAGAGCTCGAACTCAAAACCTCTGATTAATGGAGGAGCAATTCCATCCACACCACAACCTTTGCTTTAATCATTAATTGTCTTATTTTATGATGGATTATAATTTTTAGTCCTTCAACGAAGTGCTGAGTTTCCCTAATTAATTACTACATCAACGAATTTTTGTCTCAATTTATGCGATATTTTTTTTTTGTCAATTTCAACAAAAAAAATGACACAATTTTATGTTTAGTAATGCTGGATTATACATATTTTCATTCTTTCTTAAAGCTTTTGCTAAGTCAAATAACATCACATAAATTGAAACGGATGATGAAGTATTTATTATGCAACAAAGATTGTGAGTGGAGCGGTAAATACACCTCATGTTTGAATCCTTAAAATGGAATCACTTTTGATAGGAAGTGGTATACCTCCAAAGTAGATCTATTTTTTTTTTAAAATCTCTCAACTAAACAATAAGTACTCCTAATTAGACGAGAGGGGTTGCTCGGATGGTAAGCACCCCTCACTTCCAACCCGAAGGTTGCGAGTTCGAGTCACCAAGGGAGCAAAAGGGTGGGAGCTCCTAGGGAGGGTAAAAAAAAAAAAAGTACTCCTAATTACTAATTTGCAACAACATTATAGTAGAATGGTAATTACTTCTCCATTTCTAATTAAAGATATTGCATTCAAGTTTTAAAAATAGAGTCGTCTTTGATAAGAAGCGTGTTTTACTTATCAAGTGAGATTTCCCAATCTGAATCAGGGTCCTAAAGTAAGCCGATGATCTATCAGAATCAGTCTCTCTACCCCTCAAAAAATAGAAATAACTTATGCATACACTCCACTAGCCTCCTCCGATCCTACTTATGGAAACACTGAATATGTTATTGTTATGGTGTACAACTAGTGACTCAATACTCTATAAAGTCTTTGTAAATAGTACTAATGATTCAAAAAAAATATGCAGGGGGTGCTTGTGGTTATGGTAATTTAAACAGCCAAGGTTATGGTACAAACACTGCAGCATTAAGTACATCCTTATTCAACAATGGATTGACATGTGGTGCTTGCTACCAACTCAAATGCAACAATAATGATGCCAAATTGTGTCTTCCAGGAACAACAATTACTGTCACAGCAACAAATTTTTGTCCACCAAATCCCTCATTACCTAACAACAATGGTGGTTGGTGCAATCCTCCTTTGCAACATTTTGATTTGGCACAACCTGCCTTCTTGAAAATTGCACAATATAAGGCTGGTATTGTCCCAATATCTTTCCAAAGGTAAACTTTGTTTTCCTTATTATGACAGAGTTTGCATTTGACTGTATTTGACTGAGCACGATTTAACTTGAATATATCGAAAGTAATATCAGTTATGCTATTAAACTTACGGAAAAATGTTTGAAATGTGTTTAAACTATGTGAAACTAAATAAAAATGTCCTCAGTTAGTCGTTTGGTCTAAGAATATCTATATTATTACTTAATTGATGAAAATGTGCTTTTTTCCTAATAAATATCTTATTTGTTTTCTTTTTAAAACATATTTTAGTCTGAATAATAATGTAAACTTTCATATCAAGGGAATTCCAACAAATCGTACGAGTAATGGTAAAATAAAATTAACAAGATTAAATAGTTATGGAATACAAAAATGTTATATTCTTGTTGAGATATAAACTATATAGTAATATATATGATAGAGAAAATAACGCCATCTTATGGTGAAAACTGAAGTGATAACTATTCCTCCATTCTTATGTTTTGGATAAAAGTCCTAAGAATATCATTTTTGGGTAGGAACTAGGAAACACTCCTCTAATGATTAGCATTCTGGCACGACTTTGAATTAGTTGAATTTTTAAAAGGCACCAAGCACCAAATGAGAAATCAAAAAAATATCGTATAGAATAAGAAACACTCCCTCAATGCTTAGCATTCTGGAGCGACTTTGAATTTATTAAATCTCAAAAGAGTATCAAACACCAGACGAGAAACCAAAAAAATATCACATATAGAATGGGAGAGAAGTAATACAAATGAAAGACACTTCTTGTTCAAGATAGTACATACAAATATCACTAACTTGAACTTGATTGAATTCATATACTATACAAGATATATATGTTATAAGTAATTTCTATTTATTGATATGTGATTTTTTTTTTCATAGGGTACCTTGCATGAAGAAGGGAGGAATAAGGTTTACAATAAATGGCCACTCTTATTATAACTTAGTTTTAGTGACCAATGTTGGTGGTGCTGGTGATGTTCATTCAGTTTCCATTAAAGGTTCTAAAAATGTATGGCAATTAATGTCAAGAAATTGGGGCCAAAATTGGCAAAGCAATGCATATCTCAATGGACAAAGTCTTTCATTTCAAGTGACAACAAGTGATGGAAGAACTATCACAAGCAACAATGCTGCCCCATCTAATTGGCAATTTGGACAAACTTTTGAAGGGGCTCAATTTTAGTTTTTCATCGTCGAAATATCGTCTACTGATCATTTTTCAGTCTCATGTAGTTTTAAATTTTACAAGTGAAACTTCATGATAATATTATAAATCTAGAGTTTTACCTGTAGAATTCAAAACTTACATGATCATTGTTATTTTCATTATTAGAAAAAAGTGGTTATTTGTGAATTTTATCCTATTTCACCACTTAAAAGAAGGCCATGAGAAAAAGAGAAGGCATAAAGTATAATACATACTAATAGTGTACAAAATTGTATTGCTCCTATTAGAAATAAATACCAATACTGAGTGTGGTTTAGTAACCTAAAAAATAAGAGAAATAATCTATTGTACTTCTACTAGATTACAAGTTGCATTTATTATGTAAAAAATTGTTTTGTATCGACTCTCTATGTGATTTACAAATTGTATACGTAAATTATTAATTTCGTCTTTAAATTATTGACAGTCTTAAAAATATTTTTTATTTCACCAGTTAAATTTAGATACACCTCTGATTTGCCACATGACATAACAAGTGATCTCAATCTCTTGTAGAAACATGAAATTCTTAATAAAAAGTCGAGAGAAGTATTAAAATCTCCCTAAATTTGATGAAAGTTTAAAGGCATATTTCACTCATGTTGCATGAATGAGGGTGTATTTAAATTCAGTAAATCAAGTAAATAGATGTTTTTAAGGCTGTTAATACTATGAAAATGAGATTAATAATTCGCGGCAAATTCATTTTACGTAAAAGAGAAAGCTCAAAGCTTGTGTTAGAACTACGAATACAAATATATCATTGCAATGCTTGTGATGAGATTGTTCAATTTCACATAGTTTAACGATATTTCGGATACGTATTTTTCTTCAAATATTTTCACACTATCGACTCCAAAGTCAAAAGTGACAATCAAGTAGACAAATGAGGCCTCCTTCTGCAACTTATCACAAACTCTGTTCAACGCTCTTACGATATCTTCCTTCCCTTAATACCCCTCGAAACTTCCAAAGCTCACACTTTCAGTCCTCCAAAAACTTCTACACACTGAACCCTACTACTGCCATTCACACTTTCATCAGGCCCATTTCCGTCATTTCTATTAGTCCTCCGCAGTTGATCGCCGTCGTACGGGGCAGAAGATCGAGTATCGCCGGCGTTTCAACCATGGCCAGCGGCGAAGAAAATTCAGTTACGTTTCAGTTAACTCCGTCGAGCTTGTTGAAGATTCAGAAAGGTGATATTACTCGCTGGTCCATAGATGGATCCTCTGACGCTATTGTAAGTATTATGTATCTCTGCCTTTATAAATGCGTTTGAATTTTAGCTGAATCATTTCTAATTTGAATTTTTCAATGTGTATTACGGTATGTTGCTGCACTTGTTTTGTATTTTGCTATTTTGCTGTCCTATTTTCTCACAGTTCTGCTGCGGATACTGTTATGAACCCATGTGTACTGTCTGATTCAAAACCAAATGAGTATCTTATTGATATTCAACCAAAGTGCAAACTGAGGTGGCTTTTGTTTGATAAACTGGTGGATTTAGTTTTTCAAAATTTTGTTTGTTTGTTTGTAGAGTTTTATTCTAAAAAAGGAACTTCCTTAGTTTCAATTTATGTGAATGAAATGCTTTTGAAACTTGCAGTCTTAAACATTACATAACATTTATGTGGCTACAAGACTATTGAATCTTGTCGTCTTAGATATATCATAACCAGAGGTGGAGCCAGGATTTTTAGTTTTTGGGTTCTGGAATACAATTTTTCTTGCTTATTGGGTTTTGAATAGATTATTTATTCATATTAAATGACCTTTTAATGCAAATGAAGGATTTGAACCTAAGCTACTGGGTTCTTCAGAACCTGTAACCACAGTGCTGGCTCCAAAGTCCAACCTTGTTCATAACATTTGTGTAATTATAAAAGCTTGTCAGTGTATTTAATATGAGAATTAAACTATTGAAAGCTTGTTAGAGATGGATTCTTTCATACCGATAGGAAAACTCTCTAAGGAGTAACATTTCAACTGTTCAAATAAAATCTTGGTGGAAGTAGAGTCTCCCTGACTAAATTATAACCCTTGAGAACAATGGTGATCTCTAGGATGGGTGTTGTTGTTATAAGGCCAACAGTAAAAAGGAGGCAGTGGGTTTGTTAGGTTGTTAGCTCATATCATTAGGGATCAGTTACTACCACCTACTGAAGCTTTAGCTTGTAAATCTGTTTGTCAAAATATATCCTATGTACATTTTGTATGGCTGTGATGAGCAACTATGCTTTTCCTCTTTCTACCTCTGTCTTTTTCTCTTTTGACTGTAAGTTCTCGCCAATATTTCTTGATCTTGATAACCTAGAGCAGAATAAATACAGAGAATTCATATAGTCAATTCAACAAATTTGGGTTTGAGTGATTAATTAGACACTGGACTGGCTCTATGTTAAAAAAACAAGACTGAATTTCTAACAGCTTTGAATCTTTTGTTGGATTCAGTTTTATAATTTAAATGTCGAAGCTGGAATGGTCTCACTTGTTCTGGTACCAGCTGTCATTTTGAGGCATCAAGAAGATGCATAACAAACATTTGCAAGAAAAAGGAAAGTGTCTGCTCATGTACAAAAGCTAGGCTACAACTAAGGAGCAAACACGATCCAAAGGAGTTCACAGCTAGATATAGGGCTCCAATTGAGCGTCACCAGCGGTCATCATTGTATTTCTACGTGCCATGTGCTTGTGTCTGGCTTTGAAATGAAATCAAATGCTGCTACGTTGCCCAAGAACCTTTTTGCTCTTGAAATGAGAATTTTGCTTTGAAGTATACAATATGTTACGATGTTTAAGTCTTCGACCACATTCTTATATGTTTTGTTTCTTAGAGAAATTTAATCATTCATTGAGGAAAAGTTGAAGATCAGATAATGAAACAAAGCTGGTTGGTTATTTCAACAGCTTACCTAACTGAATAATAATAACTTTAACTTTGTACTCAGCTTGACTTCAGATTTACTTGTTTGTAAATTTCAGAAGTACTTTGGATTCATTTGTGAACTATAAACAACGTCAAGCACAATAAAAGAGGAACGCAGAACCCCTATGTATTTTCAAGAAATAAAATGTCCAACAGACCTTCTCTATTAAGGCTGATAATATTTTCAGTTCTGTTATGATCCTTCTTTGGGGCGTATGATATATTTGATTCTGTCTATCCTTCTTGATATTGTGGTGTTTGATTGTGGCCTTCATATTTGCACCATTTTTATACAGGTCAACCCTGCGAATGAGAGAATGTTGGGTGGTGGTGGTGCTGATGGAGGTAATTCTCTAATTTACTGCTGAAGTGCTGCTTATTTCCATGATCTATGTAGTCTAATTACAATTTTGCCCATTTCTAGCCATACATCGAGCTGCTGGTCCAGAATTACGAGATGCATGCTATAAAGTACGAGAGGTGCATCCTGGAGTTCGCTGCCCAACAGGAGAAGCAAGGATTACCCCGTATGTGCTCAGTCTTTGACTTTAATAATGCATTAGAACGATATGTTTTTGTTGTATGTTGTCACTAAACTTACATTGTGGTGGGAAAATATTGCAGAGGTTTCAGATTGCCAGCTTCTCATGTAATCCACACTGTTGGACCAGTATATGATACTAACCCAAATCCTAAAGCCTCTTTGACAAATGCATATAGGTTTGTGAATGATTGTTTAATATTACTCGTAAGTTGGTTTTGTTGTCATACCTTATTTGATTCTCTTTTCTGTCAATTATACTGCAGAAATAGCCTGCGTGTGGCAAAAGAGAACAACATTCAGTATATTGCTTTTCCTGCCATATCATGTGGGGTCTTTGGGTGAGTTCACATGGATTAACCATGCATTTCATGTTTATAGGAACTTGAGCTTATTAAGCTATGCTTTTGATGGCTACTTCTCCAAGCTAAATAATCCACCAGCTATTGAGGATGAAATAAGAATATGTTGGGGATACTACAGAATAAGTTTGCTGCGTTATCTGACATTTAAGTACCTAGATAATGCTTGTCTAATTTTTCTTTTAATGTTCTGTAGGGGACTGACTAAAGTGAAAACTGTTGCTATAGTGAACTTACATTAAAAAATGAATTCAACTGTTATGTTATTATCACAGCTTACAAATTCTGTCTTCTGAATCTTTCTTGTTTCATTTCTCCACTTAAAATCAGCCAACCCTTATTTTTCTTGCCACAAATTGTCATAAAAATTGCAGTTTCAATTTTGTTTTCCTTTTGTTTCATTGTATGTCATGCACTAATAAATTTCTATATCCTGGTGATTTACGTCGACTGTTGAATGAGAAAATTCGTTTAATAGTCCTCAGTTTGAGCATATCAAAGAACTAACCTTTTTAATATGACTATGTTACAGCTTTCTTAGGCTACCGGACTTCCATTTCATGAGTACTACCTGTGCTAACTTGTTTGCATGTTAGTCAGCTAGGAAATAAGATTTGCAGTATGATCACCTTTTAGGAGCAATATAAAATCTTACCTGCTATGGACGGTTGCCCCTGCTTAATCTTAATTTTTTTGTACTTACCAGATATCCTTATGATGAAGCTGCCACTGTCGCTATATCTACTGTCAAAGAATTTGGCAGTGACCTCAAAGAGGTATTATTATTATCTGCTTATGATTTTGGTTGCTCAGAACTTGATTGCAATATAGGTCACATAATCGTTGACTATAAAATACTTCATAGTGTTCTTATCTTATGTTGGTGAAATTGTCCGCCTGAAGCAGAAATATTGATAATGGTAGATGTGGCTCCACAGTTGCTGATAGTATGTTGGCATCTTGTTTCTAGTTCTCTTTTATTTTTCCTTTTTGCTGATAAATATAGATAGAAAATTACTTGCATCTAGATAGTACCCAAGAAAGTGATGTATATAATGAATTGTTAAGGCTCAAGCTCTTCATGGAACAGCCAAAGCATCTTCACTGCCATACAGTATTCTTACTGAAAAATATAAAGAAGTGTGAGAAAACACTCCTAATATTTTGGAGTTAATTTGTCCATGATTCATCACTCTGAATCTCTTTTATTTTCTATACAAAGTACAAAAGGCGCATGGGGATAACACTCTCTTTTAGCCCATACATGAAATTTTTTCTAGTTCTGGAATGAAGATGACTATATTTGCCCAATCTATTTTGTATCCAAACAATGAGAACAGAAAAAACCAACAATAAGCCACTACCTTGAAATGCTACCTGAAATAAACCTGTGGTTTTTGCCCACGAAAAACTGGCTAGTGAAAAAGCCCCCCTTGGTGTCTATTGGCATGTTTCTCTGGAGGATTGAACTTGTTAAAATTCATGGAATCCTATTCTGTATGCTATTTACTGCATAATGCTCTGATTAAGATGAACAATTTAATAACTAATTGAAGTATAATGTTCATAGTGTTACCATTTAAATGTCATGTGGTATGAGTTGTCTCCGGCAACTTCAACACTATTATTTCCCTTGTACTAGACTTGACAACTAGCAATATAAAAGAGCCATATCTAGTTTTTTTTTTTTTTTTTTTGAAACAGAGCCATATCTAATTGTTGAAACACTGCAATTGCTTGAATAACTACTCTGGTCGTTCTTTCTTAGTACTAATACTTTGATCATGACATGTCTTCAAAAAAATTGTCTGAAATCACCTGATACCATTTTTAGATGAACTAGCTGAGGGACTTCTTGAGTTTCACTGGTAGGTGAAACAAATTCTTGGTGGGTTGGATATTAAGAGTATCTCTTAGTTTGAAGTCAAGATGTTTTCATTAGGAGATCTCCTTTATACTTTTTCTTCTTTTCATTTCTGGCACACATTTTTGTTGTTGTTGAGAAAGGTAACAATGTCATATAGCATCACAATGGTTGTGCATAAACCATAGTATTACATTTCAATAGAAACAAAATATTCTCCTTGCTCTTCTTTCAAGGATTCTATGATATTTTATGAGAGATTCAGCATCATCTAGGAGGTGATCTTTGCACCAAAAAATAAAATAAAGACCGACAGTTCATCTTGACTTTCTCGACAGAGTTGTGGGTTCCTTCAAAGCATTTTGTGTTTCTCTCCTTCCACACAATCCACCATACTCAAGCAGGTATTATTTGCCACCATTTTTTCTGTCTAGCAGTACGTACAGTGTCATTCCAGCATGCCAACTGCTCTCTATTCTTTGGCATAGCCCACCTGATTTGTTTAAATGTTAGTTGCCAATTCTGGCTGGTTAACTCTTTTTCTTATGACCAAGAATCCGTTTGGAGTCAACCCCTTGGACCAACTGTAGCCTATGAAACTGGGGCATGATGGGCGCGCCCCTTTATCCTTCTCCTAAATACCAAAGCTAATTCTCTTGGCGCAGGGCTCAAACCGTGACATAAGACATAAGTTTCTCAACCTTTCCCAATTGAGCTAACCCCTTGGTGTTGGAAGAGATGATTTATGCTGTCAGAATCTTTTTCACACAAGAAAGACTTAGAACACAGCTGCAGCCCTCTTCCTCAATAAATTTTCTAGCGTTAAGCATGCTTCTTAGCTACTAGCCAAGAAAAACATGCCATCTTGTAAGGTTTGACTTCCCATATTTCCTTCCAGTGTCATTTGAACCCTGTTACCCACTGTGACTGAGTATTGCATTCTAATGTGATACGTCTCCTACCTCTGCAAATGATTTTTAATGCTATTCAAATTTAAACTGATAACTCGTTTCGTACTTTTTCTTTAAATGTAACGGTGTTATTAAAACCATATTTATTCTAAAATAGAATGTATATCTTTGCTTTGAGCATCAGTACATTTTTCTTTGGTTCCGGCTGTTAGGCTGAGTGCTGACTACAATCGTGTCCTCTTACATTTGTCATAATTGCAGGTACACTTTGTGCTGTTTTCAGATGAAATTTATGAGGCATGGGTGACAGCAGCGAATGAACAGTTGAATTAATTACGAGTATCTGGAAGATGAAGGTTGCGGCGATGGACATCGGTGAAGTATAACGACATACTCAGATATTGAAATGTCAAAATATATGATTCTGCTGAATAAATATTGAAAAAATCAAGCCACACATCTATTTAAGGATTAATATAACATTTTAATTACAAGTATTAATAAATTATTTTAAATTTATAAGTTAATTAATTACATTTTATTACTATTATTCTTTTTATAATTATATTATTATAATTAATAGGTGAGAGAAATAACATTAATATTGATATTAATATGAGAGAATCAATGGTAATTATCTATTACACATTTTTAATATTTAAATCAAACATATTCTATTTTATAACATTTGGAATGATAAGTTTATGAATAGTAAGAGTCCATTTAGAATTAAAAGTCTAATGTATTTTCAAATTTAAATATTTTTGATTTTCTTTCCTTAAGTATTATTATTATTTAATATTTAAATTTAATGTATTTTATTTTATTTTTATAATATTCAAAAATGATAAATTTATGAAATAGTAAGAGTTTATAAAGAATTCTTTTACTTATGAGTTTCTATTTTTAAGCTAACTTCTTTTATTTAAATTTGAATTCAAATATCATATCAATTTTTTTAAATGTGGATCTTTTTATTATTCTTCCTTATCCTTGATTTTAAATACTATAATATCTTTTTATAAGCTATATATTTAAATTGATAGAAATATTTAAAAGATTTCCACCCCCAAACAACGTTATCTCTTAATCCTCATTTTTCTTATTTTACTATTATTTTCAGTACTACTATTATTACTTAATAACTCTTGATAAATTTTATTTTTTTCTAATATTAAATTTAAATATGTTGTTCACTATATATATATATATATATCTTTATTTACATTTATTTATTTCCTACGTTTTTCTTTCTCTTCCTTCTTTATCTTCATTTTTTGTCCTTTCTTTAGATTGCTATTTTTTATTTCATACCGTTAATAAATAATTTGAATTGTATGAATTCTTGTATGAGTAATGATTTGTATGAATAATGATTTAAATTATGGGTGTGTTTGGTATGAAGGAAAATGTTTTTCTAGAAAATGTTTTCCAGGAAAACAAGTTGATTTTTGACTTATTTTCTCATGTTTGGTTGGTGAGTAGAAAATATTTTCCGGAAAAGATATTTAGTGTTTGATTTATGAATGAAAAATATTTTTGAGAAATATCTTTTATTTTTATTAGAGTAGAAAATAATTTTTGAAATTGAAAATAGTTTTTAAAAACAAACTTAAATTTTTTTTTGGGGGGTGGGGGGTGGTAGGGGGTGGGTGAAGGGGGGGGGTCGAGTGTAGGGGTGAAAAAATGAAATTTTGAAATTGAAAATATTTTTTAAAAACAAACTTGAAATTTTTTATTTTTTTTGGGGGTGGGGTGGGGGGGGGGGGGCTGGTAGGGCATGGGTTGGTGGGGATCGAGGGTAGGGGTGAAAAAATGAAATTTTGAAATTGAAAATATTTTTTAAAAACAAACTTGAAATTTTTTATTTTTTTTGGGGGGTGGGGGTGGGGGGCTGGTAGGGGGTGGGTGGGTGGGGATCGAGGGTAGGGGTGAAAAAATGAAATTTTGAAATTAAAAATATTTTTTAAAAACAAACTTGAAATTTTTTATTTTTTTTTGGGGGTGGGGGTGGGGGGCTGGTAGGGGGTGGGTGGGTGGGGATCGAGGGTAGGGGTGAAAAAATGAAATTTTGAAATTGAAAATATTTTTTAAAAACAAACTTAAAATTTTTTATTTTTTTTTGGGGGTGGGGCGGCTGGTAGGGGGTGGGTGGGTGGGGTCGAGGGTAGGGGTGGAAAAATGAAATTTTGAAATTGAAAATATTTTTTAAAAATAATTTTTAATAATTTTTTGGGAGGGGGTGGGGGTAGGGATGAGGTCGGGATAAATAAATTGAATTTAAAAACAAACTTTAAATTTTTTATTTTTTTGGGGAGGGGTTGGTTGGGGGGTGGTTTGAGGAATAAATTGATTTTTCAATAAAAAATAATTGTAATTTGAAGTTGGAAGAGAGTTTTGGAAAATGTTTTCCTTAAGTTTAGAAGGGAAGTCATTTTCCTTAAATTTGAGGAAAATGAGTTGATTTGGAAAACATTTTCCAAAACATTTAGCCCAACCAAACATGAGAAAATTGGAAAACATTTTCCGGAAAATGTTTTCCTTCATACCAAACACACCCTATATGTTTTCTATTTTTCAAAATTATATATCTGCTAAATTGTATGAATTTGGTATGAATTATGATTTTAAAAATAAATTGACCTACTCTATGGTTTTGGTTTAAAAAATAAATGAACCTATTGTATGATTTTACTATGAATTTTGATTTTGTATTAATCATTGTAAAAGATGGTTCATGCCGATCTTATATCATTTATATATCGATTGTTTTGGTATGAATTTTGTTTTGAATTAATCATTGTAAAAAAATGGTTCATACCGATTATATCAATTATATAGATCCATTTGAATCCACAATTCATACAAAATATAATAAACCAATATGTAGTCATTATTTTGCAACCATGGTTCATACAAAAATTATCACTTGAATATCATGTATTTATATTTAAGTTTCATACCAACCTAATACAAATATCATATAAATTATCTCACTTTTAATACATATTATAAACACAACAGTCACCAATTATTCATACCAGTATCATGCCAAATAGAATACCAAATTAATTCCAACATATAAATATTAACTATAATTTCTTATTTAAACAGTATACCAAATTCACACTATATTCAAACCATAAAACATTGTAGAATAAATTATACACATTTCATACACTTTTTTGTGGCACATATTTCATAAATATATTAGCATTATATGCAATTCTCTCAATTTGTAGCACCTTGTGCTAGACTTTGTGATCTTGATTAGCCGAAGGATTATAAGTTTCTTTATAGTATATATGCTCTTTCATTTCCTTGATGTATATATTTAAATAAAAATAGTAGTTGTTTTTAAATATTTATTGTTTAGAATCTTTCGGGTGGGCTAGTAATTTGAGCTTGAGACTTTTATATTGGAGATATTTTTTCAAAAATTGTTTAATATATTTATTTTCGTGTAAACCACTCACATTTCTTAATATTTCAAGAATATAATCGTATAAATTATAAAAATATACTATTTAAGACTTTTATTAACAATATATACACATACTTTTATTTAATTACAAACATAGTTTATAAATTACCTACATAGAAGATTAATTATTTTTTTGTTTTAATTTAATTATTTAATTGCATTTTCTTCTCTCCTCTTTTTGGGATTATGTGTCTTACTTTATCTCCCCAATTACAGTTCTTAATATAAACGTTCTGTCTTTTCAAATATTGTTTTATTTTCTTTCTTTTTTATTCAATCAATGTAAAGTAAAAAAAAAATTATGTTTCCAATAATTCACTTTTTTCTAAATTTTCATTGAGAGAAATTTCAGTCATTGTCTTTCTCTCTTCTGTTCATATTCATCGGTTAATCACTTGCACCATTTTTTTTATTTCCGCTTAAGTTCATCATTCAAGATTATATTTTCATAGTTCGGTTAAAATTTGAGGAGGAAGCCCATAAAAAGTTCTAGGCTTAACAAATCAATTATAGTTGTTGGTTGAAGATCCAATGACAATTGTTGATGAATCAATGTAGGTATATTGTATTTATTTAATAGTTTGGTACTATAAAATGTTTGGATTCTGATTATTGCTCTATTTTTTTCATAGTGATTGTGGTTTGAATACTTATGCTTTCACAGAGTTTGTTTATTGAGGAGATAAGAATATTTCAATGTCAATTTTTTATGCTGCAGACTTTCATTGGAGATATGAAGCATTACTTTGGATCTACGAAAAGAGGAAGATTGACACTGATACTGTTAGTGAAAGTGAATCAACTGAAAGTGGCAGTCAGTTGATTCGGAAAGGGAGGGATTGAAAAGAGCATGTTATGTTAAGAAATAATTTTATAAAATATGGTTATTGAATTGTTGTTCTTTGTAAAATGTTATTATTACACTTTTGGATATCAGCTTAATTACTATTTTCAATGAGTTTTGGTGTTTATTTTGTGTTGAATTAACTCACAAATACTTTAATTGGTATTTTCCATCAGATTTTGGTGTTTTTTTTTTGTATTTCGATATGTTTTGGTTCTTAGTTGTTTGTAAATATTGTCAAGTTTAATAGTTCATTGTGTGAGGTTAGTATATTATATCAACAATTCAACCATTAATATAATAGGCAGAACGGTAATGTATTTTCGATCAGTTTTGGTACCTATATTGTGTTTAATTAACTAAAAGATACTTTAATTGGCATGTTCGGTAATTCTCTTAGATTAGTTTTAGTGTTTTTATGTATTTTAATCAGTTTAGATTCTTAATTGTTTGTGTATATGGTTTCAAGATATTGTGTTCATTGTTGTGTCAAACCACCTCTTTTAAGTTAATTAGTTGTATAGATATCATTGTATGAGGTTGGTATATTATACCAACAATTCAGTCATTAATATACTACCTCTTACATTTTACACTAATATTACGAAGAATATTTCAGTTTGGTGCTTATATTGTGGTTAATTAATTGACAGATACATACAATTTTGTTTATGTATATATTGTCAAAATGTGCCATTGTGCTATCAAAATATTTTGTTTAAGCTAATTAGTTGTTTTACATATTCATCATGTGAGGTTGATATATAATAACAACAATTTAGGCATTATATATCACCAATTAATTTAAACATTAGTATCTATGTCACCAAGAAAATAACAATGTATTAAACCAATATACTATTACCAATGTTACAACAGTAATTACACCAATATTATGAACTGAGCCATTGAACTAGCCAATCTATTTTAAATATTACATTAATATTACGTAAATCATACAAATAATAGTTTGCGCAACAACTTTTTCACAAATTTTTTTTATAACAAACAAGTAAACACCAACGATCAATACACCAATAATATGAATTTGCCAATCAACATTAACCAATATTGTTTAAACTGCAATTAACATTCATTAAAAGCATTTATATTTCAACAAAAATCCAAAAGATTCAAATGTATACTTGTTTAAACAAAAAAAACACCAATGTTAATTTTGAGCCGCAAATTTGGGGCAATTTATTTTGTTATACCCCGATGTACCACATTTATTATGAGTGACTTTACACCTTTTGAATTTTCCTTCGTTGAATCTCTTCTTACGATCGTTATTTGATGATTTGCCTGGTTGTTTTCTTGCAATTGGTGGTAACATTGTCTCTTCTATAACATGTGATGGAATATTCAAAATGCTTGCAATTGTTCAAATGAGATTGCATAAGTATCTTGATAATTCTTATTGCTATAATAGGTTGAACAGTAATCTTCACGATGTTGTTTCTAGTAGCAACTGCATGACTACAAGAAATCTCATCATGCTGAAATCTTCCACAACTACACATTCGAGTTTAGACATACAGTAAATCTTTTTGCACCATTTATAACTCTACAAGATATTATGTTGATGTGCATACCTTCATTTGAAACCATGCTAAATTAGTAATTATAAAAATTAAACATTCTATATTAATTACAGCAGAAAGTAGATATATATAAACACCATAAAAGTTGACGTTTATATATTTCAACTACACAAGAAAATACACTATCTAATATACAAATACATGAACTCAAAAACTAACACGTTAGTTGGTGTTTATACAACAAATCACATACACCATATAAAATACCAATAGATGAACCACATAAATAATAAGTTAGTTTGTGTTTACATACATCACTTACACCAGAAAAATACACTATCAATTACACCAAAATTACATCCACTGTCTATTACATCAGAAAAATAAACTATCAACCACACCAAATCACACACTATCTAATATACCAATATATGAACCAAAAAATGAATACATTAGTTGGTGTTTACATACGTCAATTACACCAGAAAATACACTATCTAATATATCAATAGATGAACAAAAAAGAAACACGTTATTTGGTTATTATATACGTCATAAAATATATAAATACACCAGATCATAAACCAAAAAATAATAACGAAATTTGGTGTTGATTAACAGTCTATATACACTATCAATTGCATCAAACCAACTACAATAAATACAATATCAATTACACCTAATCATCTACTAAAAAAGTACTCACTAAATTTTGGCATTAATACACCAATTTCGTCAATACACCAACAACAAATATAATATCAATTTTACCCATTAATACACAAAAATAAAATCACGAATTTCATTTTATAATCAATTAATACCATCACAATACACCAAAACAAATACAAACAGATTATAACAACGTAACTTACGATATCATTACACAATCATATACAATTATAATTTGGAAATTGGGACCCGACTATAATTATTAACAAAGTAATTAAACCTTCTAATCAACCCAAATCTAATCACACAAATTGGTTTTGTTCAGTGACATAAAATACACCATCATATACAATATTAATAGGTTTAGATTGCAGACTAAAATCCATTCATGATTTATTACATATACCTGACGCGTCCCATCATTCGTTGTGTTGAATTAGAATCGAAACACTATTGGTATTCATAATTGTACAATCTTTCAAAATAGGGAGGTAAAGAGTTTTGTTTTGATTAAAAAACCTTCTTTTTTTTTAATTTGAGAGAATTGTGTAACCAATTTGAGTAAATCATGGAATGTAAAAGATTGGGAGAAAATCAGGGAGGTTGAGAATATCGTGGCTCATTAATACCACGATTTCTGTTTTTTTATTTATTTATTTTTTAATTAATATTATTTCCTATTTTTGAAAAAAACTATTGCTATGTTGGTGAAAATTTAAACTATTGTTATGTAGTGGTAATTAATGTACTATATTTGTATAGTTCAGTTTTTAGCCCAATATAATCGCACTTGTGAAATTTGTGCATATAAAGTTACACCTCCATTCATTTTTTTACCCTTTACTAGTAAATTAAAGTAATAATAACTAAAATATAGTTGGATAGACTTGCATATCAATATGGATATGCTATATAAAGAAAATTTAACATAAAAAACTTTTGACATTTATATTAGAACTCTCACATTAGATCAATTTGATAAAATGTTCTATATAATAAATGAAGAATATAGATTATCCATATATTTTCATAAATAAAAATTAAGTTTCTTGAATAATTTCATAAATAAATATATTCAATTATCATATATTCTTTAACAAATAACAAAACAAGAAACAGCAAGAACAAAAAAAATAATAATCAACAATTCAAGTGAAAATTGAATAAACTACACTAGGTTACTAATTTTCCCCATGTTTTCTGCAGCTGTGTATCATAACAGTAGTTTGTTTAAGTACGATCATATCTCTTTATAACAGTCATCCTCTATAAATATATTTCACTACAACAATTATGCTTAAGTACGATAATTATGTTGTTACCAAAAGAGATGTGCAATAATCAAGTGTGGCTATCACAAAAGGTCATGAAATAATTCACTAACATAATTTGAGTCTCTAACATAATTACTAAGTTAGCATGTTCCTACAATGATTAACATGCATTCATAAAACATATATATGTGTTAGTTCACCTCTAAGAAAAAAATTAAACATTTTCTTCTCTACTTCTTCTTCAATAAGAAAAAAAAAATGTCTGGTAGAAAGAAAATAAAATCCAGTTTATTGTTATTCATAATATTGTTCATATGGTTGGTATTTGTTGGAAAATTTGTAATAGGCTGGGCCAGCCCAATAACAAGTGGTGGAATAAAGCCCAAGAAAGTTGTTGATCAGAGGTTTAATGGAATATTTTCAAAGGATAATGATAATATCAAGGCTAATGAGGATTATGGTGGAGATGATAATGGTTTTGATAATTTCTATAGACAACATGAAGATATTCCAAGCCCTGGTGTAGGTAATTAAAACAAAAAAATATTGTACGATGGTGTTAGGATCAGTTTACGTGTATCGTAACTAATTCTATCAGATACATGCTCTGAAAATACATTTTATCATGAGAGCACATACTATACTTAATGTTTTTGTTTTGTTTTATTTCTTTTCCACATAATGTGTATTGGTAAGTTTGGGAATTTTCACATTTGGTGCTTTTGTACCGGATGTTCCCAAGATATTGTCTTCGATTATTGCAACCGTAAACATTTGTCATTTCGATTGTTTTGTTCTTAAACATTTCCATTACTTTGTATTTCGTAAGTAAACTGATAAGGGTGGAGGTTGCCGACTAGAGGATAGTGAGGAGATAATCAGTATAAAATATCATTTATGAAATTGATTTTCTCTATACTCATTTAAAAAGTCATTTTTCTGATTTTTAAGATCCTCGATTTTCTAAAACATCAACCAAAATGAAAAAAAATAGTCTTTCATACCTAACACACCCCTAAATGAAACTTAAAATGTTAATTAATTGTCTAGATATCCTTTCTCCCTTAAGCTACCCATGTATAACAATTTTCTTTTGCTTTCCCCCCTCTTCTAATGTTTTAGTGGTTAGCCATAACTACATGATATATCACCACAATTACACAAAGCAGAAAAATTATTAATTAGCTTAAAGAGATGCTTATCAAGGGGATTATCTTTTTAACCATACTTTTTTTGTCATTAAGAAAATGTCTTCCACTAAGTAATCAAAGAACAAGTCCTCATTTTGACTTTTATATTATCTTAGTGGGCTACCATGAAGCCATTTCATATATATATATATAAGTTTTACATTTTGCTATATAAAAGCAGAGGTCCTTAACTATACAAAACAAGTCTTGGTTCTTCCTTTCAAGTATAGAATTGGTTGCAAAAACAAAAATGGGAAGCTTTGGGAAATTGGGGCATTGGCCTCTACTTGCATTTACTTTGGCAATTTGCTTATTAGCCAGCACTGCTGTTGCTGATTATTCTTATGGTTACACTTCTCCCTCTCCTTCAAAGTACTACAAGTCCCCTTCTCCGTCAAAACATCAAGTGCCCTCTTCTTACTACAAGAAACCAATAAAACCTGTTGAACATTATCCATCACACTACTACAAGTCGCCTACTCCATCAAAGTACCATAGCCATTCATATAAACATTCTCCATCCCACTATTACAAGTCGCCTGCTCCTTCAAAGTATCATAGCCATGTAACGGTCACTTATAAACATTCTCCATCACACTATTACAAATCACCTGCTCCTTCAAATCACAACTACAAGTCTCATGTTCCTTCAGTACCATACTACAAACCATCTCCATCTTACTACAAATCTTCTCCACCTCCACCACCAAAATACATTGAGAAATCACCAACTTACTATAAGTCACCTCCTCCAGCGTACTACAAACCATCTCCATCTTACAAATCTCCTCCACCTCCACCAAAGTACGTCGAGAAATCACCAACATACTATAAATCACCTCCTCCTCCACCATACTACAAACCATCTCCATCTTACAAATCCCCTCCACCTCCACCAAAGTACATCGAGAAGTCACCAACATACTATAAATCACCTCCCCCACCATACTACAAACCATCTCCATCTTACTACAAATCTTCGCCACCTCCACCAAAGTACGTCGAGAAGTCACCAGTTTACTACAAGTCACCCCCTCCACCATACTACAAGCCATCTCCATCTTACTACAAATCCCCGCCACCTCCACCAAAGTACGTCGAGAAATCACCAACTTACTACAAGTCACCCCCTCCACCATACTACAAGGCATCCCCATCTTACTACAAATCCCCACCACCTCCACCAAAGTATGTTGAGAAATCTCCAGTTTACTACAAGTCACCCCCTCCACCATACTACAAGCCATCTCCATCTTACTACAAATCCTCTCCACCTCCACCAAAGTACGTCGAGAAATCACCAACATACTACAAGTCACCCCCTCCACCTTACTACAAGCCATCTCCGTCTTACTACAAATCCCCTCCACCTCCACCAAAATATATTGAGAAGTCACCAACCAATTACAAGTCACCCCCTCCACCGTACTACAAGTCATCTCCATCTTACTACAAATCCCCTCCACCTCCACCAAAGTATGTTGAGAAATCACCAACCTACTACAAGTCACCCCCTCCACCATACTACAAGCCATCTCCGTCTTACTACAAATCCCCTTCACCTCCACCAAAATATATTGAGAAGTCACCAGCCAATTACAAGTCACCCCCTCCACCATACTACAAGTCATCTCCATCTTACTACAAATCCCCTCCACCTCCACCAAAGTACATCGAGAAGTCACCAGTCTACTACAAGTCACCTCCTCCACCATACTACAAGCCATCTCCATCTTATTACAAATCCCCGCCACCTCCACCAAAGTACATCGAGAAGTCACCAGTCTACTACAAGTCACCCCCTCCAACGTACTACAGTTCACCACCACCACCAACAAACTACTACAAGCAAACACCCACGTATGCCTCACCTCCTCCACCGGCAAAGTACCAACAATCTCCTACCTATAGTTCACCTCCACCCCCACCCCCACCAACCTACTACTGATTTTAAAATCACCTTGCCTCGATAATTTTCATTATTCCCTTTGCTTTTAACTTCTTTGCATCATCCTGTTCAGAGCTTTTTCATTTATTTTTCTACTTCAATTCTAAATTATATGTATTCTTGCAGAAATCATCAAGTATTAATTGGTGTTTTTATTTTTATTTTATCATTTAAGTAAGATTCTTGGGATCTCTATTGATTCAACTCATTGTATCAAGATTTTTTTTAATGTAATTTTTCAAGAAATCTACTTCAATTTGTCTACTTCAATATTATTTGTGCCAAAATACTTAATTCTTTCTTTGGCCTACAAAACATATAACTAGCGGGGAGAGTGACCGAAAATCAGAATAGATTTTTTGATCCCTCGTTCTAAATATAAAAAAAAGGGATTACTCATACAAACATTGTTCAACCAAAAGATAAGGTTGCTTGAGATTGTTTAGTCGTGTCTATGTCGACTTCTAGATACGCAGTTTGTAGGTGTGAATCCATGACGTAAAAAGGTGTTAAAAGAGGACATAATAGACTAAAATCACATGGAAGAAAGTTATCTCGTAAAACCTACAACCCCTTAAATTAAGTGCAAATCTTGCAAACACTAGGGCAGAATGGAAGAAAAAAGATATACATATGGAATATTAATTAGATTGGGACCAACCTGTATTTTTTAGGAACCTTTTATTCATGTGAAAGATTTATATGTAAGTAGAGAATATAGAGAACTTCTAGCACTTTTATTTTTTATTTTTTTTCATTTTGTTTTGTATTGAGATTTAAAGTTGCAATATGATTAGTTAGGATTCATATAGCCAATTCGAAAATGCTTGAAATTGTGATGTGTATGTAGTTTTTGTTATTGTTAAGAAAAAAGTTAAGCACATCTTATTTCCTAACAAAAGGATAATAATCAACACACATCTGGAAATATGTTACAAGTCACCTGCTCCTTCAAAATACAACAAGCCACGAACACGAATAAAATATTAAAAATCACCAGTTTACCAGAGCAAAGGAACTCAAAAATTTAGTAAAACAAGTTCTCTATTAAGCTTAGACGGATGGCCAAAAACAGGCTGATACATAGTAAATCGACAATTACAACAAGAACCAAACGAACAAGTTGAACGTTAAATACTGATACTTAAGTGAGATCAACTTACAGAGTAAACGTCACGAGATCAGAAGCTCTTTCTAGTGTCATCTACTAACGATTTGCTGGCTGCTCGCCTTGCCAAGCCCAAACAATTTCCTCCAGAGCAGGTCTTATAACTTGTTTCAGCATCTTTTGGTACTCTACCTTATCACCATATGACTTTTTCAGCTCAACCAAGTGGAAGGACGGAGTAATTTCAGATATTTCAGTATCGATAGACAAAGTCCCATATCTACCCTCACCCGATCCCTCTAATCTCATAGATCCAGCTTCTTTCTTCATTACTTCCAGCTTTAGATTCCTGCCAACTTCCTCAAGTTTGGATATGATAGAAGAGGCAGGTTTTGCGGAAATGAATTGCAAGTCTTCCTTCTGATCCTTTGTTATGAATAAACCGGACAAGTCAAATCCATTTGAAAGAGAGATTATATCAAATGCATTTAGATTTGACGGTTTTAGCAACTCTAGCTTTGACACAGAGGGAGAGATACTGTTATATGTACAATCTTGAATAGTAGCGTTGGCGTCTAGGCTAAACTTTTCCTTTTCTTCTACTTTGGTTACCGCGTTTCTAGACTCCAAACCTTTCTTAAACCATGAGCTTTCCTTTATCTTTGCTATGGAAATCCTTGTACGAGGGTTTGGATCAAGGATTTTAGAAAGTAATTTCCGCACTTCTGGTGGGAACCAATTAGGACATTTGAACTCAGCCTGCTTTATCTTTCTATAAATCTCCATAAGATTTGAGTCTTGGAATGGAAGATAACCGGCTAGCAAAACAAATAAGATCACCCCACAAGACCAGATATCAGCTTTGGCGCCATCATATCCTTTTCGAGTGATCACCTCAGGTGCAACGTAAGCTGGGGTTCCACATGTTGTGTGGAGTAAGCCATCCTGCCTCTTAGACTCGGCCAAGGCGCTTAATCCAAAGTCTGATACCTTAAGATTTCCATTCTCATCTAGAAGCACATTTTCTGGTTTCAGATCACGGTGATAAACATCTCGACTGTGGCAACATTCAACAGCGCTAATCAATTGCTGAAAGTACTTCCTAGCTAATTTTTCCTTGAGCCTCCCCTTTGTCAACTTTTTGAAAAGCTGACCGCCTTTGGCATGTTCAATGACTAAATAAATCTTAGATTTAGTTGCCATGACCTCGTATAGCTGTAGAACATTTGGATGTTCAACTAGTGCCATAACAGATATCTCTCTCTTCGTTTGTTCAATCAGTCCGGCCTTAAGAACCTTCTCTTTGTCAATTACCTTAATGGCTACACTCTGTCCCGTTTCAAGATTCCTTCCGTAATAAACCTTAGCAAAGTTGCCTTGACCTAATAATCTCCCCAAATCATATTTTTGCATCAGTACATTTCCTTTTTTCTCCATTTGAATCAACAATTCTTGTAACCACTAAACTTACTTTCTCCTGCTGATATGATACTCGATTTTTTAACAGGCAGGAGAGGCCTTGTTGCAGAGCTTACCCGGCTCCAACAAGACTGTGCTTCAGCATGTCGGGATGTTTAAGGGTTGTGGCTTCACTGTTCATTATCTGGCACGAGAAGTTAAGAGTATTCTGAGCAGCATCATTGAGATCACTACGGATGAAACAAACTAATTCCAATGCACATGGAAATTCAGAAGCCTCCAATAGGTAATCGTTGTTGTACAATCCCATCTTTCTGCATCCCAATTATATTGCTTTCATAAATGTCACAAGCACTGAACGTCAACAGAAAAAAGGGAGAGAGTCAAGAAGTATCAATATAAGCTTAACAATTATTGCCTAAACGAAAAAATTGATGACTATGAAAAATGATTTGCAAATCGAAAGTAAAAGATATAAAGGAAAAGGGGTAAAACAAAAGAAAAGTATATCAAGATGAATATCACATTTTAACTTACGATACGCTCTACCTCAAGAATATAACAGCAACGAAAACGGTTCCAGATTTATGATTCTTTTTCCCTCAAAAACTATGAAAATCAAACTAAAGGGGCATCATGTTCCATTACATTGGACAAATTTAATTCATCAAGGACAGAAATGTAGCTAGTATAGTCGTTTCATATTCAGATCTACAACAAAGTTTGAATCATCCTGGACTGGCATACTAATTGTTAACATGTATACGTCAAGCAAGGAAAAGAAAAAGAAATTTAATCACCCTTTTTAACTCTCACCAAACAAAACAAAAGATGCAGAAACTCGATACATACAATACGAGCTAATGAAACATAAAAAATACTTTTCAGATCATATTGTGAATTGTCACAGACACATTCAGACAAAGAAATGTTTCTTGGAAACACCCTACCTCCAAGGGCAAAGCTATCGGTAGGGTTCAGACAAATCCATTAGCTTTTACTTAAACCCAATAATATTTGTTATTAGGAGCTATGGGCTTGGTGGTAAGTTTAGAATTCATAAACTTCAAATTCTGGATTTGTCTCTACCGACCTCAAAGATAGACCATTGTCACCCCATCCACCAACACAACACCCCAAAGAAAGGCAAAGGGCAGCCCAGTGCTCTAAGCTCCCACTATGCACGGGGTTCAAGAAAGGGTCAAACTACAAAGGTCTGTTGTACACGGTTTTACCCTATAATTCTACAAGAGGCTATATTTCCACAGCTCAAATAGTAACCTCCCGATCACATGACAATAATTTAACCGGCTACACCAAGCCTCCCCTTCACCCTAGAGAAAAACATTACTAGGAAACTCAATAATACATGATTAAAAAAAAAATCTCCTCCATCCAACAGCCAACATTGATGCATCCATGCAAATATACCCAAGAAAAATATTCAACAAAAATACAAACACCTTAACAATCCTTAAACATTCATGACAATAACCAACACCAAAATTCACAAGAAATATATGCAAAATGGACCAAAACTAACATGCAAATTACCATGGGGATCTAATCAATTAACTAACATATTCGACAGAACTCAATAATTACGAAAGAAAAATCACTTGATAATATATACCCCTCTATCTCAATTTATGTGACACTTTTCATTTTCCGAGAATCAAACCGTTTAAGTTTTATCGGAAATTTGGGCAAATAATCTTCAATTTTTTTTGAAATGAAATTCATATATTTGTAAACTACATAAAACTACTATAAATCACAAGAATTCACAATTCAAAATAATTAAAAGATATATGATAAATTTACGATCAAAGATAGAGAATCTCAAAATTCAAAAAGTATCACATAAACCATTCCAAATTATATTCATATCCAAACATAGCTCCAATATACAAATATCATTTTCAACTTTTTATTCCAAATACATACATATTTTTGTCCTGATCTGAACAACGATAACTTTAAATTTTAAATTCGTCCCTACGAATTCATTAACCGAAGCAAGAAAAAATACCTGTTGGCCAAATAAAGGGACTGTTCTGGATGGATCCGAAGCAGAGAAACAGAGAGAAAAAGGTTGAGATTTATAATCTGATTTTATTTTTTTTTGGGTGCAGAAAAAAAGGTGTTTTAAATACAGGCAAAAAGTATCTGTTTGGTGAGAGAGAAATTTTTGTATAAATTTGGTAAAGTTTCTAACAATCGACCAAACACAGACCTACTTGTGTGTGACACGTGGTAGGTGCCTCGGGAAATGAGCTGATATGTTTTCATGAAACAAAAAAAAAATGGGAATCAAAAGAGCATCTACGGGTAGTTTATTCCTTTTGGACTATTGAGAGACAAAACAAAAGAAAAAACAATATTATAATTAGTACAACAGTTGAGAGTGATAAGTATTTTTTCATCTTTAATTAAGAGATTTTGGGTTCGACTTTCATTGGATATAGAGTTATCTTTGTTAGGGAGTGGTTTACCCCCCCACCCCCACCAATGTAGGATTTTCTTGGGTATGAAGTCACCTTTTATAGGGAGCACTGTACCTCCTCCAATGTGGAATTTTCTGGCGCGAATTTAAATATTGTGGGCTCTAATATGGATACCGAATACCAAGTGGGAAATCAAGAAAATATAGTATAATTAGTTCAGTTTTACGATTTATTCTTATCATTAGAAGATAGAAATATTGTTTTTAATAGGCATTCAGTATCAAAAAGATCAAGTATGTAAAGTAAATACTATAACAAAGAATCAGAAGAAGAAAATAGTAGCAACAATAAATTATATGACAATTACTGAAGCGATTGTTGGATATTTTGTAATATATATAGAGGTCTTAATATTGAACAAACACATTTGTTCATGAATAAATATGACCTTTATGAAAAGTCACCTATTCATGAAAGAACGTGACTCTTATGAAGAGTTATCTCTCAATTTCTATAAATATAAAGACTCTCTAAAAGTAGTCTAAGAGAAATCTGCATGTATAAACAATGGACTTTGTTGTATTCTTGAATAAAATTGTTTGTATTACCCCAATATATAAATACGCAATATCTCTTTAAAGAAAGTGATTACACGTCTCAAAACCGCCTCCTTCTTCAATTTATACTTCCTATTATTTTTTCTAACAAAAGAAACAACAAGTAATAGTAAAATCAAAGAATTTTAATAACAATAGTGAAAAGGAAACTACCTTAACTATTTACTAACATTCTATCTTATTCTTCGATCTCTCTATATTTCTATCTAGACAAATAATGCAATCCTTGAGGGCATTATTTGAAAAGTTTAGTAAGGTCATAGTTTAGTTTGACTATAAAATGTGTGCTTCTGGTCATATATATTTCGTAATAAAGAGTGAGAAATTGAATCGGACATAATAAATGTTTAGAAAATTGTAATCACTTGTGATGATATTGATGAGATTGCAAGATTGTAATCATGTCCCTGATTTGAAAGAAAAAACTGAAATGTTAGAATTTGGAAGGCCGCAATTAACAAATGGTAGAAGATTAATATATATATATATATATATATATTACCTTAAAAGCATGAACTCCTAACTTGAATGTTAAATTACTATAATATCCCTAACTTAAAACACTATCTATATGTATTTGAGTAACATATGTTCTTTTGAAAGGTTGTGACTTTTTCGATGAGTTGTGACTTTTCTGATAAGTAGTGACTTTTTTCAAAGGGTTGCGATTTTTCGATGAGTTGTGACTTTTCTATAGAGTTGTGCGTTTTTCAATAAGCTGTGCTTTTCCAAAGTGTTGTGACCTCTCCGACAGGTTGTGACTTTTCAAATAAGACACAAAAACACTCTTCATACTACCTTCTTTTTTTTACTATAAATAGAGGGACTTCCTCTCATTTTTCAACCACAAATTTTTTTAATCTTCTACTCTTCTTCTTCTTGCATTTTAAAAAATTTCGTTTGATTTGTCGTTGATTAGTTTGAAGTTTAGCGGAATGAGGTACCATTATTCTGATGAAGTAAATCATTTTATCCTAAGAGGATATATTTCATAACCTCGAGTACTTAAGGTAAATAATTTTTCAATGATATAATAATTTTTTTTTGCTTAATATATATAGTAGTATGTAATGTTCCAAAACATGAAGTTAACATGATGTAGTCTAAATTAATTTGTTTTTTTAACAATCTCTCTTGTGATGCATATATATGCTTCTGAATATCTTTTTCTAAAATTATTTAAATTCTCAAGAGTCAGAGAATTGTCACGATTTATTTTGTTGATGCTCAAGATATAACAATGACAAAATTCATATGACTTGTAATAATGCCACTTGAAGTTTGTATTAGTTTAAATTTTAATATTTATTTTATAGATAATATTTATGAGATGAATATTTTTATTAATGCAAATGCATATCTATTTTAAATTAATTTTTATGATATATATATATTTATTTATATATTTGGGTAGGTATTTGTATTTAAATTAAAATATTATATATGTCACAAATGTATTATCAAGTTAACAAGATCTTCTAACTTCAAAATATATTATTTTAAAATGTGCTGAGTTCTTTTTTAAAAAAAAAAACTCACAATAAATGTAAAATATGTGAATATATATGAATCATTTAAAATTTATCATTTACAAAATAAATTTTATATTCAATAATCAGTAATATGGAATAAACATTTTCGTTTTGTCCCTGCACTAAATTAAAATCTAATAACTACATAAAAAAATAGTAACAATAATTAAAATTCCTATTCATCTATGTAAGTATAAATTTTTAAAGAAATTCAGATATTGCACTTTAATTCTTTTATCATAGCATTATAAATTAACTTAATTATTACTAATTATTCCAAACATTATTCACACTCTTTTACAATCTTTAGTTATAATATTATGAATTCACATAGTTATTACATTAATTATATCTATCTTTCATCTTTCATTATATTAACTTTTGACCAATAAATTTTCATATTACCGCTCCTATATATCTAATAACACTGTATTGTTATTTATCCATGGATGAATCATGCTTGGTTAAATAAATTGAAAATCGTTTACAAGGATATGAACTATATCTTTGTTGGGTGTGAGGTAAACATGTGATTATATATGATTTCACAGATAGAATATATTCTTTAATTTTTAGTTTTAGTTTTTTCAGTTTAAAAAAAAAAGGAAACCTTTCTCAGTCAATTATGGACAGTCAAATAACTATCTTTGATTTATGTGTATAGTCAATCGTGAAGTCAAATATGAGAGCCAACAAGAAGAACGTCATATGTTATGTTATAACTTATAAAATTAAAATTATTATACAAAAAATAGTTCTAAAAAATATAAAAATGTAGTTCTCTTCACATGTTCATATGACATCTAAACAATTAAATGTGGAATGCACGTGCAAAGCACGAGTGGTTAGATGACAAGAAAAATACATAACAAATATCGTCTATAAGGTAATATTAGTGAGATACGACTAATTACATGATTGGACATCTTCAAATTGAAAAAAATAAATATATATATTGTTGCATTTAACTAATGAATTTTTTCATTGACTATATTCATAGGTTCGCGTGAATACGAGATATATATGACAATCCACATTGAATATTCAAAAAAGAATCTGCAATATTATTTTGTGCAAAGTTAATTATTCAAATCTTCGCTTAAATAATCAATACTATCTACTATAACATATATTTTCTAAATTGGTAATCACGTGCAACACACATGTCAAAAAACTATATATATATATATTGATTCAAATTATTACTTCAAAAATTTTAAATTATTTTTTTATATTTTAAACTTAATGTACTTTCCTTAATCACTTTCTATTATCTTCCATTGCCATGTTAAAATTGGGACCCAAAGAAACTTGAAATGTAATCTATGCATAGTCTATATCTGATTAATCAGTATTATTTTCATCCTCATTTATGTAATATTTTTTGATTATCAAGGATTAATTTGATTAATATTAAAAAATAAATTGAGTCAAATCAATCGAATACTTTAAAATTAACATTCAAATATAAAACTAAAAATATTATTTATAAATTACAATTTTTCTCATTTCAATATTCGGACAAAAACAAATTGTCTAAGTTTCCAAGGCAGGCAAAGTTGGCCTAAGTTTAGTTGTCTATTAAGTAATTTTTTGTTCGAAAACATGGACCACTAATTACTTTAATTTGTTTTTTTTTATGCAAGTCAATTTTGTATGGCGCTGAAGAAGAAGACATCAATTACGGTATTATGAGCACATACAACTAAATTTAATTTGTTGAGTTTGAAAAAAATTGAAAAATAAATTACTAAAAAAATTATTGATGTAATTAGACATTAATCAAACCTTGAAAGATTGTACAATTAGGAAAAGGCTTTTTTTCCCCTTTTTTGTGGTTAAATAGAAAATTTGTCGAGATATGAACTAAAAAAGGATGTCAAAATTTTTACGTATACGATTGTGTCGTTCCTGTTGTTGCATAATGTCATGCATTCTTATTTTAATGATAAACTTACAAAAAAATTAAGGCACGAGGTAGAAAAAGTGGGATAAAAGATAAAATAAAATTATTCAATAGTAAATAAAGACAAAATAAGAAAAAATTATTAAAGTAACGATAACACACCAAACCAATCATTACACATAATGAGTTTTTTTGTTAGATTTAATTAATATAAGACAAGAAAATTTAAGTAGCAATATTGTATTGTGTTGTATCGTGTTGTACTGTGTTGTGTTGTATTATTTAATGAATACAACATTTTGATATGTTGTATGGTTACCCTCCTTACATAATTTCACATACAGTAATTTGAATAATAATCCTAAAAAAAAAATAGTTTATTGATAGAGCTATTATAAAAAAGGTAGGGTAAAGAATAAATATTGAATTATTAAATAATAAGTAAAGATAAAATGAGAAAAACTATATTAAGATAATGACGTGATCACACCAAATCGACCGTTACATAAAATAAGACTTTTCGTCATTACCTAAGGATAGATTTAAACAATTCGATATAGAAATATTTAACTAATAATACAATACAATACAATACAACGGATAACAACGATCAAATTTAAAGACACTGAAAATAGCCAATTCTGTGTGACTTGCCTCCACATAACCAAATTCCTTTTCAGTCCTCGAAATACTTCTCCGGCCGTCCCATATCGCGCGATAAAAAAATCTGTAGC